TACGGGATATTCACTTCGTATTCGCTTTGAAGAGCGGACCTACATACTATTCAGTCGAATTCTTGCTGTAGGGCCGAATACGAATAGTGGTTACAAGAAGGCTCTAACACTGACAACAAGCCAGTGGGTTCTAGCAACAAGAATTGTTGCAATTCTGCAACCGTTTGAACAACTGACACGTGAAACATGCGGCAATAATTCCTGTTTGTCAGTGATCCTACCAGCTGAGTAGCTGTGCTTGTGTCTAGGTCCTCCCTGTGGTATTCTGCCGGACCTCTCACTCTCTGGTTTGTCGTAGCCAACAAATGTGCTAAAACTGCAGCCCTCAATCTGTTTTTGTGTGTGTTTGCCCACCTTGCAGGTACTCAGTAACAGTGAGCTTCCGAAGGATAAGCAATCGAAGAGTTCTAAAATGACTAAGAAGGCAACCAGTCTCACCATTTGCAGAAGGCTGTCAACCCAGAAGTATGGACTAAACTCAATAGGTTAATTTATTCTGCCGGTGGCCAACAGCTCACGGGCTGTCCTGAAAAAAAAAAAAAAATTTGCCGCTGCCTGGGAATGGCACACACCACTTGTTCACTTCCTTGCTGTAGAAAATCGCCTTCCGCTTAGGAAGCTGGTACTCATATGTGGGTAGGGGATCAGGAAACAGCACTTGTCCCAGCGACCTCAGCTATTTCATGTGTGGAAACCCATGCACTGTAGACTCAAAGGTGTCAGTGTTGATTGTGACACCCTCAGGTCCACTGTTTCTTGTCATAAAGTTCTCAATGTTGGTCATCTCTTCATCTGTTTGTGTGTGAAGAGAATCAAAGTTTCTGCAGGAATGCTGTCAAAGCCGGTAGCAGCAATCACAAAAACGTCATTCTCCTCAGCTTTAGCATTAATCGACAGCTACACCTTCTCCAAAAACTACGGTTCTCCGCTGATGTCCAGGTGATCAGTGCCTGCCTCCATTAACTACAGGTTCCCCATAAAATCGATATGGACCGACACAGTTTAGCACCACTCAGCCTTGGCCATCTCTTCGAGAGAAGATGGGTTGCTGCTGCCAGCGATGACTATTGGAATATTCTCAATGTTTCTGCCTGTGCGTACAGAAGCCTTGTTTAAAACGGTCTGTAGCTTCTGCATACTTCGTTTAGCGAATGCCCATGTTAGCTTCTCTTCTTCTGCAAATTGGGCCACTTTGTCCGCCAAGTACTGGCCGGTAAATCCACTGGCTCCAAACACGATGAAGTCAAACTTCTCCCTTTCCGTCTTTATAGGACTTTGTTTGTTTAGTCAGAAAAGTACTAGATTATCAATCAAATAATGGTAATAAGTGTGCAATAAAACTACAAAAGATGTCGACGGACAAAGAGCAGGACAAGAGTGAACTAATATCTGCTGCTGCCTGTCCGCTCAAACGATGGTCAATTACAGCTGTTTCTACATGTCACAGAGTAGACCCTTTACAGCTGTTTCCACATGTCACGGAGTAGACCCTTTACAGCTGTTTCCACATGTCACAGAGTAGAACCTTTACAGCTGTTTCCACATGTCACGGAGTAGACCCTTTACAGCTGTTTCCACATGTCACAGAGTAGAACCTTTACAGCTGTTTCCACATGTCACAGAGTAGACCCTTTACAGCTGGTTCCACATGTCACGGAGTAGACCCTTTACAGCTGTCCCCACTGAAAGCCGTTTCCACTAACACAGGAGCAGACAGCTGTTTCCACATGAAAAAAAAAACGAAGGAGCAGACAGACAAGTGTTCCACAAGTCACAGCTGTTTCCACATGTCACAAACACAGGAGTAGACATATCTGATGACTGTTCCACATGTTACAAACACAGGAGCAGACATATCTGATAACTGTTCGACATGTTACAAACACGGGGGCAGACATATCTGATGTTACAAACTATACATTTGACAGTTTCTATGTGTACCGAGGTTTTATTCTGAAACTTACATGCTCACATCACTGATGCATCAAACAACTTAAATAATAATGCAATCCTAATTCAAGGTGAGAGCTGCAGCAGAACAATGGCTAGCATGCCTGCCGGTCTTGTGTTCAAATCCCAATGGCCTAAAATGGACAGATTTGCTGGAAAGTCAAGCAAGCACATCGACTACCAGCTGGTCTATACCAGTATGTGGCTGTCACCATATGCCCAATCCTATTTAAACTGTCATTATGCACCAGATGCCACCATTCCCTTTCCTTGCTATAGATATATTTTTATTCCAACAGTGTCTCTGATATCCAGATCCATAGCGCGGTGATTTTGTCACAGGCGTGATGCAGGGTTAAGGAATGTGTATAAGGAGATAGTCGGTATGTCACCTTGGATGCTAGCAGACTTTGCGCTGGTTTTACGAATCCTCATGTAGACTTTTGACATGCATCTTCATTGTGCACTAGGGATAATGGCTCACCTTTGTGGCCTAAAATGAGTTGTCAGCCCACCCATAATGTATGGGTGAAGACATCTACCAAAACTCATTTGGAGCACATCTTCCTACTGTTTGGCAGAAAGGTTCAAATGTCTGTTACCATTGGCTTGACTCACTAGACTGACGAGATCAAATATGGAAAGCCATGCCTGGTGCATGATTTTCCTGCTGTCATGCTAAGTGTCCAGAAAAGCAACGTTAAAGGTGTCTAACATTTTGTAGAAAAATGTTCCTACTTTTGTGAACATGCAGGCTGATCTCTGGAGGGCGCAGCCCGAAATATGGAAGTGAGGTTAAGAGGTCAAGTGCAGAACATGATGATTCTTCGAGTGAGCACAGGACCAGAATGTGATGGGTCAGTACTGCATTGATGAAAGCTTCCTTGGATGGTGGGCAATGCCAATGATCTGCCCCTGCCTTCCCTTAAGGGCCGACCAGTCTACACACATTCTTCAGGGGCAACATCTGTAGATAAGGGGGACAAAGAGAACATCACACAAGTAAGGCTGGGTCATGTCCCACAAAGCTATTCGAGAAGACAGCCCAGTCAACAGATGCTTGATGAAGTTGGATGTGTCGGCCGGAAGGCACAAATATAATATTACATCTTTGCTGAAAACAGGCACACTGGATGGGTGAAACAAAGAACTAGAAGAAGATATCCTGATCCCTCTTCTACCATGCTGGTTGATCTTTGCCTCTTCTTTCAGAAACCATAACTGTGCTTTCTAAACCAGTATGGCAGATCAGTACTTCGGCTTCTAAAACATGCTAAGGCAGCATCATTTGATACTCAGATCTTGTAGTAAGTAAAAAAGTAAAGATCCCTTTACACACCTATAGGCTCATCGGGCATATGGGAAGAGCACCCATATTTACAGACCAATCAGCACTCGGTGGGTAATGTTGTCAGCAATACGCCGGCCATCTTTACTTCCCCAGGACAGCCATCCTGGTATCCATTTGAGGCTGGGTCGACCTGTGATGTCCCATGCCACGATAAAAATCCAAGCAGCCCGCAGTGGGTTTTGATCACTATACGTTGTATTACGAGTCGGACTCGCAACGCCTTAGCCACGGATGCCACTCCAGTATTTTTATGTGTAGTTCCATGACCCAAAAATGGCCTATTTGTGAAATAAAGTCAAAGGGATCGACTTCATTATCTGTGTTACTTCAGTTTTACTAAATAAACTACCACCTACATTTGTTTTAGTTCCTGTGTTTGGTGAGATGTCAGCTGGGCCGCCAAACAATTGTCACTGTTTTGGTGGGACGTGGGTGTGAACAGGCTGAGAAACACTGATATAAGCAGCCAAGTCTGTAATGATTCTGTCACCTCATCAGTGTGGCCTGTGTGAACAGGTTGAGAAACACTGATATAAGCAGCCAAGTCTGTAATGATACTGTTACCTCATCAGTGTGGCCTGTGTGAACAGGTTGAGAAACACTGATATAAGCAGCCAAGTCTGTAATGATACTGTCACCTCATCAGTGTGGCCTGTCTCCGGAATGTCAATTTTCTCTTTAATTCTGAATGTTGTCTGTACAGTAAAACTGTAGTCTTCATTCTGTTTTGCTATATATTTCATGTCATTTCACAGAATTAAACAAGGCAAGGTGGCAAGCCTGTGTGAGCTGTGTTGCCAACATAATACAGAAATATGACCTGTAATCAAAGACATGCACAAGCTTTAGACATTGGCCAAAATAAACAAGGCTCCAATTCACAGGTTTAAATGAGCTGCTGAACTGGAAATACAAAAGTACATTATGGGAAGCCTGATCTGGTCCCTGTCGGCGTCTGTGGCCTAGGCGTTGCGAACGTACTTTGTAATGCCAGGGTGCCAGGTTCGATTCAAAAGTGGCATCAAGAAGCTGACCGTCCAGAAAGCAATGGCAAACTACTGGACGTAAATTTGCCTAGAAAAACCACAACAGCCAAAAAATGCTGGGGTTGGTTCTGCAACGTCCTGTTAAGGATACGGAACTAACTTAACTTTAATCTGGTCACTACTTGCCTGAATTTGTTGGAAGTGTCAGCTGAAAGGCACAAACAATGCAGGTCTGGTGTCAAGATACAGCACAATTATAGTCAAAACAAGAATACAGGTAGCCTAACCTTTCAGCAATTGCTAAATCAGTTTTTAGTATCCCTGGGTGGGTTCTGGGGCCCCACCGTGGGGAAAACAAGAACAGACCCACTGCCTATCCTAAAGTATATCGTAAGATTCTAACTGGGAGCTTCCTTCAAAGTTGGAGTGCAGCTGCCTGGGAGGCAAGTAACCAACAGTCTGCATACAAATAAGTCAGATCTGTAAAATAGATATGCACGCACGACTCAGTTGAACAAGACTAATGTTCAGAGGACGAAAAACCAGAACTGTCCACTGGAGTTTACAGCGGGTCAACACGAAGAAGAAGAAGAGTTTCTGGCAGCAACTGAAATCAATGAGCTAATGTGACCCCCAACACCACCATGGAATACACCAAGAGCAACAATGTAAATAAAACCAACAAACAGGAGGCTACAAGACACTTCCTCAACTCAGTGATGCTTGGATTTGTGAAAGTACTCTTCAGCATTGGGAAATCGGTCTGAGCTAAAATCAGGATCTGATGAAATTCGAGAATCCAGGACAGAGATCATTTCCCCTTCTAGTTCAGCTTGGAGGTCAAGGTTGTTTGCAGCTTCCTGGGCCAGTATGTCTTCATGGCTGCAGGGTTCGACACCGGCACTTCTAGCAGCTCGTTTGATGGACTCAGGAAGGTAGTGCTGCATGTTACCCATTTCATGACAATGTTCCAAGGTCATCATCTGAGATCAAAGAAAGACAAAAGGTATTTGAAATATCAAATCCTCAGGGTCAGCTTCCCCTGCAAAGTTATAAAAGAAGTTTTATACAGTGGACAGAAATAACCTGACATCAACACAATCTGAAGTAATGCTGTACAATTACAGCAGGGGTACTTCTTAAGGATGGCAGAGTAACATTAGAGGCTAGAGCTCCAGCTGTTCCAGTAGATAAAGCAACACTGATACACAGGACTCCATGACAAACAGGCTGATACTCGAGTATCACCCACAAACTTTCTTCTTCTTCTTCTTCGCGTTCACCAGCTGTAAACTCTGACGGAAAGTTCTGGTTGTTTATCCACTTCTGGACTGCAGTCCTGTTCCAGAACCTAAGTGTTGCGTGTGCAGCGGTTTTACAGATCTGGCTCATTTGTATGCAGACTGCTGGTTCCTTGCCTCTCAGGCAGATGAACTCCGACTTTGAATGAAGCTCCTAATTAGTCGACTCTTACTACAAGCTTTTGGGCAGGCAGTGGATCTATTCTTGTTTTCCATATAACAGGGCCCCGGTACCCACACAGGGGACCGACAAACCTTTATTTCCTGTTCCAACCTGCAGACGGTTATCTGTCACTACTTCTGGTCTAGGGTTTACGGAAGTATTATCTGTTTACTCACACGACAAAATGTCCTACAAACAATCTTTTTTCACAGTCAATCGCTTGTAAGGTCAGGTTCCCATTGAAACATTCAGTCGACAGAGTCAGCAGTCATCTTGATCTATCCACCATAACATTTACAATAAGGGAAGATATTTGCAGCCGCTGTAGGCTGTTTGGGTTGATTCAACTCTATGGTATACTCCACTTGTCTCATCAACACACTACACATAGAATAATCCTAACTTTTCCCACATTTCTAATCATTCCTTCTATCCCAGGCATGATCCTAGCATCATTTAGTTATTATCATGTTCACAGAAGCCATGCTAAACAAGCTACATTCGCTGAACTTCCTGTTTGTCTTTCTTGGCCGGGGCCTTCGTAAGCTAACCCCTTACACATAATTTATGCTAACTAGATGTTTATCAGCATAACTAGAATGTCTTTACATTGAAACCCACAGGTGCATAGGAATAAAGGAAGGCCAAAAAACACATGGAAAAGAGAGCTGGAGAATGAAGTTAGAAAGATGGGGAGGACATGAGGAGAGCTCCATGTAATGGCGAAGTATAGAACGACTTGGTGTGAGTTGGTTAAGGGCCTATGCTCCCTTGGGGGACAGAAAGGCAGAAGAAGAGAAGAAGATGTTTATCAGACGTATGATTATGTACATACATTTGCATACATGTGGGTATCTACTCTGTCATCCAGCTTAATAAATATTATTTGTTGCTTAAATGTTTCAGCTTTCTACAAATATCTTCTGTATCTCTTGCTTTGTCTTGTCCTCTATATCCTCCATTATCATGCCAGATTTTGTGATGTTGTATGCTAGGCTGTCTTGTACTAAAGATTTTCCATTGGCTTTTGCTACAGACCCCCAGGCACTTTTCTGTCCTCTCAACACCGAACCATCTGTAATGATAATCAGATCACCTGGGCGTGAACTATTGTAAATCAACTATTGACTTCTAATTCCGTAGCACCCACTGGCCACTCTCTGCAATCCTGGCACAATGTGATCATAATCCTACACAGTTTAGACTTTTCCTCTGATACTCTGACCCACTCCTCTCCTCGCCCAATGTTCTCCAGCATGCATACTTGTCTTATTGTGTCTTCTGCTTGAGCCATCCACGATTTGCCCCTTTTCAGCCTCTGACCCTTACCTGCAGCCAAAGCTTCATACAGAGTGTGCTCTTTGTCTGCAGCTTCTCTGGGGTATGACTTAGCCTGCAGCACCTTTAGTCTATCTGCAATGCAGAAGATCCCATACTGTCCAGATTTACTAGTGTTTGCACAGCCTTTATAGATATCTAAAGACATGCCTCAATTCTGAATTAGGTCACCTCCAAATAGCAACTAGGGGACCTCTCCCCCCTGCAATATAAACGTGCAGAAAGTTGCTAAAAGTGAGAATGAAACTTACTCTTCTTCGTTTTGCAGGAAAACCTTGTAAATAGGCATCACTGAATGGAGGTTGGGGTTTCTGCTCTTGCTGCTTCACTAAATCCCGACTGATTACAGGTATCCATTCCTGTGGAGTAAACAATGTCAAATCTTTCATGGTTCCAGGATAGACCGTTCTAAGCAACGAGACAATATATAGATTGGAAGAAATTATATATAAAAAAGGAACTAGTGCTATGAGTTATGAGTTAGATTATCTTCACAGCACTCCGGACACATACATAGGCGCTCAGATTCCCATCTTAACATATTCATCAGTGTCGTGCAGTTAATCGTACCAGTCCTATCTTGGTTACCAAGACTTTGTGTGCATCCGGTGTGCTTCTCATGCTTGGCTGTGCCGATCTTTACTCCCAATTCAGGTATTCTTAGCAGTGATGTGAACATGTTGCTTCCAAAATCCTCAGAACGTCCTATCTCTCTAAGGGCAATGACAATGTCTGCGTGATCTATGGGCCGGCCATCTTCAGTGGGAATATATCTAACCACAGTCTGGCAGGGATAGAAATCACCATTCAGTTCCTGTTGCTGCAATCAGAACAGCCATCTGATGTCACCGCAGAAGTTCTGGAAAACTATGGATAGCTGCAGGGGTCAGTTTGCTTCTTATCTCTTTTATCCTTCTGCAGGGGTCAGTTTGCTTCTCATCTCTTTTATCCTTCATCATGATTCTCTCTGCTAGTACTGAACTGGATTCCTGGACACATTAGTTATAGCTGCAAATAGTCAGCGATTTGTGCTTGCTCTTCTGCAACAGGTGATCATTTACAGACAGCACACATTTTTTTAACCAGGTTTTTCTAATTTTTAAAATCTTTCTAGATGTTAATGAATTTCACATTTTGTTGGCAATTTCACTGGCCATTCCTATTATTTGTTCATCATCATCATCATGTAGCAGGTCACAGTCTGCCTGAAAGAAACTCGGTCTCTCGCCAGTTCTCCGGCCTCATGTACTTTCATACTCATATTATTTGTTACAAGACAAAATTAGAAGAAACTTGTTACTAGTCAGTACTAACTATTCAATTGGTCTCACAGAGAGATTTCCTCTAGCAACTGCTTTACTTCTAATCTTGCTCTTCCACAGCACTGCTCCCTCTATTCTTGGCAAAAGTTGACATGGACAAAGTATATTTCTCCCCGTCTCTGTGCATCCACAAACTGATATATGCTGAGGGAGATGGAGCACTTATGAGGGCAAGGACTTCAGTTCACTTCTAAATACAATGAATAAGACACCATCAATAACTCAAGTCAACTGCAAATTTCTAATTGGAGATACTGTCTGATTGTAGTCTAATTCTACATGGTTTGACACATTGTCAGCACATTAGTTAGTGGGTAGTTAGCAACCATTGGAACTGTCCTCCTGGATACGCCAGTGATTTGAGAAATAAACAGGCAGAAAAACTGATTGGTGAACTGATGCATGACAAACTACATGGAGTCACGGCCTTATGGCAGCAAGTGAACAGTGCAGACACACAAACAGATCATGACATTCTGGAGAGAACTGTGCAGATGCACAAACAGATCATGACATTCTGGAGAGAACAGTGCAGACGCACAAACAGATCATGACATTCTGGAGAGAACAGTGCAGACACACAAACAGATCATGACATTCTGGAGAGAACAGTGCAGACGCACAAACAGATCATGATATTCTGGAGGGAACAGTGCAGACACACAAACAGATCATGACATTCTGTAGAGAACAGTGCAGATGCACAAACAGATCATGACATTCTGGAGAGAACAGTTCAGACGCACAAACAGATCACGACATTCTGGAGAGAACTGTGCAGACGCACAAACAGATCATGACATTCTAGAGAGAACAGTGCAGATGCACAAACAAATCATGACATTCTGGAGAGAACAGTGCAGCAGGCAGTGACCATGGGAACTGACTGACAGTTACACTCAGACGAAAGTCAAGGCTATATGGACATACAATCAAATTGTTACTGATGCCACTGGAATCGGAAGTCTGTGCTGGCCGCTGAAGATGGGGACAGAGCTCATCTAGGAATGTCTCGAGTGCCAGTGATGTCAGTTCTTAAAACAAATGATAGCAACCTTCAGGGAAGACATTCTTACCCCACGGCAAAGAAACTAGTGCAGACAGCGGCAAAGAAGATGTTCTTTCAGGCATTGCTTGTACATGCTAGGGAGATCCTGTTGTCACTAGATCAATGGCTGAAGACTGCAAATACCACTAACTAATCACCAACAGGGACTTCAATTTCAAAATGGCGGATAGCAGCGGTGTTTATTTTCGCTGGCTGTCAATTCTCTCAGATTATTCTGTTTCCTAATCATGGACTGCTATATTGTGCGCATTTCCTACGCAGGATACTATGTGTCTTTCGTGGAAGCAGCATGTATTATGGTTGTGCTATGTCGGGGCGGAATAATGACCGATAGTTCTGGCAGCCTCGATCACGCTGCCTTCGCAATGTTTTGATCGCGGCGGTCCACACGGGAAGACAGAATCTGGAAAAACAGGGGACTGCAACTGTCTAGAGAGCAAACTTGATAAAAGATGTCCCCAGAAACGGAATGTGTCAACTATATATTTGGGGGGGGGGGGGGGGGGGGGGAGAGGAATCGACACATTCAGTTAACTCAATGGCCATGCACAAATATTTATCCAACTGTGGTACCACCACGTTGGGTAACAATCAAGTGAAAGCGGGACTAGCTCTCACATCTCAAACAAGTTTACCCTCAGCCACCAACAGCCCCGCGGCTTCCTGCATTGCTAGGGGAGGACAGGGTGTTACTTCTAACTGCCAGGACACACTTCCACCACTCGTAATCATGCAATGGAACGCCGGACAACTAAGCTTTGGGGAAACCTAAGACACCTTGAAAAGATATCCAAGTTTATGGCCAACAGTGGATTATGCGCATGACTAGAAATCGCTGAAGAAGAAAAATCACAAACAGTAACAGTTTACACAACCATCTGCTCTCCACAGTTAAACAGGAGTCAGCTAAAGGACAGCTGTTTCTTCCTCTTGCCTGCTTTCCAGTGGACCACAAACTGATTAAACTCAAATACTGTATATGCCTGTTAACAATGCATGATGACAAAATTGAAAATATCACAAACTATGAATATCTAAGTTTCATAAGAAAGAGCAATGGAGACTGTTCAACAAAAGTCAACAAGAGTTTGGCTATGGCAATACAAAGTTTATACAGAATGATAAGTCTATGATAAGTCCTTGCACCAGCAAGGAAATCAAAGTCACAAGATTTGAGAGCACGCATCTTCCATGTGGAAACTTAAGGATGTGAGTCGAACAGGGGCATCTGAGCTGACAAACTGTATAGATTACCACAATAATATGGAAAAAGAAGAAAAGAAATACTAAGATCGTCAAAGGTGTGAACATCAAGAAGGACTGGCTAGTTATCAGCCTCTTGTCTCAGAAACTGATGTATTTTGGCTATATCAAGAACCATGGTGGGTCGGTACAAATGAAAGCAGAAGGCATGGTACCAGGAAGGAGGGGCAGGAGCCAACCAGTAGGATTTGGGCACAAGATATAAGTGATTCCCTGGAATGAGGCATGAGAGCTGTCGAGAGACTGACATTCTTGCAGGTGGACTGTGATGTGAACAAAGTTCTGCAAAGGACCTGCTACAAGATGATGGTACGACTTATGAACTTTCTGGTGTTTACAATTTAAAAAAAAAAAAAAAAAAAAAACCAAAGCACCTGTGGTACAACCGACTGCCAATCATCAGAGCCCTTGTCATGCCTGGACCTGCCACCACCTGTAGCGCCCTCTGTTTGATGGACTTGTGTGGCTAATGTGCTGGGAGGTTTCGCTGCTGGCTGCTGGCTAGGCGCAGCTTGCTGAATATTTTCACATGGTTTCTGAGTTGAATCATCTTCTCTCAGTGTATTTCTAGCCACCTGCAGACAGATGATCATAGCAATTCGGTTACAATGCTATCAAGACAATATTCCTGTACATATATATATGTAAGATGTACCGAGTAATGATGTAATCTAGAAAGGACAATACTGCTTTTCTGGTCACGCTTAGCTACTGCATGTACGGTTAATATTGGGCTGTTATCTGGCTAGTGACAAGAGACAAACTAATCTGCTAGACATAATTACAAAACTCACCGTTGCCGTGAGTGACTGCAAGACTGGGGACCTTGTAGTGTCCATCTGGCTTGGGGGAGATGTCACAGACGTGCCTGACTGACTGACGACTACTGCTGTGGTTTGCCTGAGTGCAGACGTCTGATTCTGTACATCTGCTGATGACACTGCTCTTCTGGATACCAAATTTAAAATATAATAATAATTTAAACATAAAAATAGGTTTAAAAAGAACAAACTATGCGGTTAATAGGGATTTGCTGGCGCTATGAACCCGGATATAAGTGTAATGAAGTAATTATAAAGAAAAACGGAGACAGTAAGACAGGTCTGCATGATAAGAACATGCTTATAAATGACTGTATATTACAATATTTTCTATGGCAAACTAGCAAAGATATGTAAACACAACACAATCAAATTATAACTGTAGAAGCACTGTTAAATATTGTGACTGGGGAAATCAAGAGGGAGAGGCAGGCCGAGAGCGATGATGACACATGGAGGGATATGACACAGGTTGATATCACTGGTGGAAATAATCCAGAAGACAAGGGACCGAGATTGTGGAGATGCATGGTTGTCTACGCCAGTCGGCAGGGCACATGATGATGAGAAACACTGCAGCTGGTGCAATCACTTGTAGGCACAGCGGTCCTGGACTCGCTGCCTTTTGGGCGGACATGCCGCAGTGTGTTCAAGCCTGAAGTTTTTACTGGTGTTGTTGCTTTTAACAATCCACGATTGGTTGCATTAGCTGCTCAGTTAAATGTATGGTGCAACACTGTGAGCTATGTATTTCATGTGGAAAGCCTTTTGTCTGTGCTCACATTAGTCTGTGTCATGATATTCAGAAAACTGCTGGTGGTCAGTTTGTGTCTGATCTGGTTAAGTGCCTTATGCATTAATACTGTATATCCTGTTTCTGGATTTTTGCCGTGACAAACTGTGTCAAGTAAAACTTGTATCATTATTGTTTTATATCTTCAATGACACTGCAATTTATGACGCTGTTTGATATATTCCATATGCTATACCTCTTAACATATTAACTACTAAATGTTGCTAAAATTTAATTTTATATTGACTACTTCAGTATGTCGGCTCTGTGGCTAAGTAGATGCGAAAGCTTCGTATTGCCGGGGTGTCGGGTTCAATCCCAGCAGCGGGCTATGCGCCCTGCGTTGGTTTCGACGGTGGTATCAGGGGGCCGACCGTATAGAAAGCACTGGCAAACTACTGGACGTACATTTGCCTAGAGAAACCACACAACAGCCAGGGGCTGCTGGGGTTGGTTCTGCAACGTTCCTGTAAAGGATACGCAACTAACTTTTGACTTTAGTATACCAGCGGCGCCAGCGGCTTGGGCATTGCGAGTCCAACTCGTAACACCAACGTATCGCGATCAAAACCCACTGCTGGCTGCGTGGATTTTTTTTTAATTGTATGGGGTGTCGCAGGTCGGCCTAGCCTCAAATGGGCACCAGGATGTATGACTTGGAAAAGTAAAGATGGCTAGCATAATTCTGACCACATTACCCACCTAGTGGCGATTGGTCTGTAAAAATATGGGTGCTTTTCCCAAATGCCCGATGCGCTTAAAAGCGTGAAAAGGGATCTTTACTTTACTTACTTCAGTATACCACTAAAACTGTTCTCATCTGATCATTTTAAAATAATTGTAATATCTGCATAATCAGAACCAGATTCCAATATATTTAATAATGTAGATAGCACAAATGTTTATCTATAAGTCACAGTTTGCCAGTTTGGATCCTCTTAAGCATGCTCAGTGAGTCCGGTGATGTTGATGCATAGTTTCTTTCTGTTCGGCCAGTCATATAAGTGCCCCTTTGCCAGCTGCTATCTCCATCGTCAGGCTAGAAGTGGCAGAACTAAATGCCAGACCTTTTTCCTTGACTGTCTTTCTTATTGCCAGTTTATGCCCACCCAGACCGCACTCAATGGATCCTGAGACATCTGTATAGATGACGTCACCTGGCTGAGTGTGCCTGTGGATGAGGGATCTTATTTCAGCATCAGCACTTGTTTGGCTCCACTAAGCACTCTGCTGGCTTGAGAATCAGCTGTACACATAAGTAATTGTAACTGACTCACAAAGCACACTGAGAAAGGTGGAGACAGGCGTGCTTTGTGAGAGTGGCAAGCATCATTTCAGAGGACATGGGTAGTTAGCATACTTTGGATTTGGTCCTGCCAGTGTATTGGGAAATGAGCAGGCAGATAGACTTGCCAGTTCTGCACCATTTGGTGGTGAATTGATGTATGACAAGACAGATGTTGTGAGGGCCCTTTGGAGCAAGTGAACAGCGAGGAGGCAGAGACAGATCATTATGGTCTGAGAATGGCGCTATGAGGAGTTACCAGGGGATCTAGCAGACACTAAACACTCAAGGTAGAGGTAAGACGGATATACAATCAGACAGTTACTATGAGGAGTTACCAGGGGATCTAGCAGACACTAAACACTCAAGGTAGAGGTAAGACGGATATACAATCAGACAGTTACTATGAGGAGTTACCAGGGGATCTAGCAGACACTAAACACTCTAGGTAGAGGTAAGACGGATAGACAATCAGACAGTTACTGAGTTCTGTGGTGTCAATTCTTAATTCAACACAGCTCCACTCTCTGCAGTAGCTGCCCAGGGAAATTAACACCTCAATGTGCTCTTGCATTTCTTTCTGATGTTTCTATTCCAGTCAGGATGAAGCATGACATGCTCCAATGGGCAAGGCTGGCTAATGGTGTCCTCTGTTTGTGCGACATCCAAGACTGTCCCTCTTTAGGCGCTTACTTTTGTTCACTCTTAGGCAACTGTACAGAGGGTATTTGATGTCAGCAGCAACGCCTAGATACCCCTATGTCTGGTGACCATGTCTGGCAGGTCAAGGATGTATGGCGTGACATGACGTGTAAACAAATATCTGTTAAGAGGCCTATGTCACAGACAATCATTTTAATAAAAAACAGCAAAACTACAACTGAAATTGCAGATAAGCAAAGTGCAAAAATCAACTAACTTGGCTACTGCTGTTTTTTTTTTTTCCATTCGGTGATTAACATAAAAAACAAACTAAGAATGCTGTACAAGTATAAAAAAGGCAACAAATAACATTGCAAAGCACAAAAATGTATGCTTTTCTTGTGCAAACCAGTGGCAAAAATTGTATGCAAACATAAAAGAACTTACAGATCTGACTGCTGGACAACATAGCCTCTGATGTCTGCCTCTGCTATCGGGTGGTTGCTGTAGAACGACCCCAAAATACTCTGCAGGGCAGCAGTCATCCAATTAGTGAACACTGGACTCATGCCTTGAGTCATCCGAGGCTGAGAAAACCCGCACAAATGTGAGAAGGTTAAAAAAAAAAAACTATCTTAAAATACCATGCCATTAACTAACTACAACTGAGTCAGAACAATGTTACTAGTTACATGATTCCCATACAATATCCCCATTTACATGAGTCAATACAATGTCTCTAGCTATACAGGTCAATACAGTGTCATCAGTTACATGAATCAGTACAATGTCCCCAGCTATACTAGTCATTGCAATGTCCCTAGTTACACGAGTCAATACCGCATTCCAAGTTACACTAGTCAACACAACGCCTATTTGCAAGTATATCATCCGCAAAAAACAGTATCCTTCCAACTCCTGGTGCTTTTAGGCTTGCTATCTTGCTCATATACACGTTAAAAAGCACAGGCGAGATGGCAGATCCCTGTGGCAGTCCTGGGGCCAAAGTGCATGGTTCAGAGGTCCAAGAGCCCAGTCGGAGAGCAACCCGACGTGAATACAGGACAGCTGCAACCCAATTCACCAGCCATGGACTGACCTCCTTCTTCAGTGCAGTCATTAAGATGTCGTATCTCACTCTGTTATAAGCATCCTCGAGATCCAGTGCTACAGCCATAGTTTCCTGTCTGTTCTGGAACCCTTCACAGACGTCAAAAGCAAAAGTGGCCTCATTTGCCCATGTGTGATTTCCTGGCCTGTAGCTTCCAGACATTTTGGAAGAACCTACCCTTTTCCAAAAATTCTTGTAGCTTTACAGCAACTATCTTTTCCAAGACCTTCTCAAATGTGTTTTGTAAGGTGATGATTCTAAAGCCACTGAGCTTTGAATGATCCTCAAAAGGTTTTGGCAGTGGAATTAGATAACTGTGCACCCAGTCTTGCGGTACTGATGCTGTCTTAATGCTCCAGTTAAAGCATTCGGCCATCTCTGTCAGGTCTAAATCACTCAAAACCATACCTGACCCATCAGGCCCTGGTGCAGTGTCTTTTGCCTTTTTCTAATTAATTTTTATATCTTCTGATCATATCATGTACTAGTCAGTAGTGTCCCAAGCTACATGAGTCAGTAGTGTCCCTAAGCTACATGAGTCAGTAGTGTCCCTAGCTACATGAGTCAGTAGTGTCCCTAGCTACATGAGTCAGTAGTGTCCCTAGCTACATGAGTCAGTAGTGTCCCAAGCTACATGAGTCAGTAGTGTCCCTAGCTACATGAGTCAGTAGTGTCCCTAGCTACATGCGTCAGTAGTGTCCCTAGCTACATGAGTCAGTAGTGTCCCTAGCTACATGAGTCAGTAGTGTCCCTAGCTACATGAGTCAGTAGTGTCCCTAACTACATGAGTCAGTAGTGTCCCTAGCTACATGAGTCAGTAGTGTCCCTAGCTACATGAGTCAGTAGTGTCCCTAACTACATGAGTCAGTAGTGTCCCTAGCTACATAAGCCAGTACAATGTTCCCTAGTCTCTAGTTATACAGGTGAGATTTAAGCCCCAGACTGTGGGTCATGCATTTAATTTTCTATTGAGGCAGCAAAATTTCTCTGGCCTAGGCTCCCAAGTCACACACTTGTAATGGAAGGTTCTGAGAGGCACATAGTGGCCACATCACACATTTAAAACATGCAGTGCTGAAAATACATGCGGCTAGCACCATATGCCATGGGTTTCATGGTAACAGGGGCTAATATGCTCTGAAATTCCTACGAAGTTCTACTTTTACCTGGGTTTTCAGACTGACCCACGATGAAATGGACACCGGGACATTTCCAGGGCTGTAAAGGAGAGTAGCATGATACTGACCATGCCACCAAGTGCGTACTGATCTAACAGGTCTCTCATTATAGAACGTGTGCAGTTCATGGCCGCAAACATCATATGGCTGAGTTGTCTGTAGTTTGTTTGCCTGTCTTCGTCACTGCAGTTTGCTAAAATGTTGTGTTTTCCTGTCTTCGTCACAGCAGTTTGCTAAAATGTTGTGTTTTCCTGCACTAGGCTTTTTTTTTTTCAGGGATCTGAATTTTTTTTTCCAGATATAAAAATCTACATTTGTGTACAAAATTCTAAATTTATTTAAATACAGTCATGACATCTTCTTCCGGAACATTGTCGTAACTCTGCAAATGCCAAATTCCAGATTGATTTTCTTGCGACTCTATTTCTTGTCGGACCACTGGCCCCAGTATCTCATGACCAGCAATAATGCCTTCCTTAAATGAGCATTTCTTGTCCATGCAACTGCTCTCAGTGCAGTGGTAACACAGCTGGCAGTGATTTCTCTCAACTCCGGCATTTTTTGCTGTTGTGGTTTTCCTAGGCAAATTTACCTCCAGTAGTTTGTCATTGCTTTCTGGACGGTCAGCTTCTCGATACCACTGTCGAACCCAGCACTACAAAACGCGTTTGCAACGCCGAAGCCTTAGACCCAGCGAGGGCTTTTTCTGGGGGTTAGCTAACATTACAAGCATCCCAAATAACCTGCTAGGTCATATTTATGAGGGAAGGTCTCATATTGGAGGAAACACTGCAATACAAAAGCAATCTGACCTCTTATAATGTCAAAGAAACATTGAGACTTTCCCCTGAACTTTGCTATTTAACTGATTGATCTTTTCTTCTGTTCCTCTAAAAAGGTCACAGTCTACTTTATCTGGACAATCCAACATACCACATAGTTCTGGAGCATGCTTAAAAACCCTGCATGGCCATCACGTATACAGTAGACGCAGAGTGCAATCGATTCAGCCAACATTTTCACCCACAGAGCATACAAATGTTCACCAAAATTCTCCTGAGCATCAGCTGTAACACAATAGATAACAGGGAACAAAATTACGTAGGGAAAAAAACAATAATTTAGTATGCCTATTTTAAATTTTTAGTATAATAAGCGTTTAATGTTCAAAACACCATACTTCCTATATATATATATATATATATATATATGAGATGGCTGTTTATCGCCCACAATTTAAAAAAAAAAAGTTTCACACTAGCAATCACACAACAGTAGTGGCGCAGAGGTTAGTTTGCTTGCTTTCCAAGACAGTGGTCCAGGTTAAATCATCATGGTTTGGGTTCGGGGGTCCCATTTTGAGGAAAGAGTAAAAGACCCTCTGTCTCCCTAAAGAGCATGTCATAGGAGGCTACTAATTGTAGAAGTTAAAGCCATCAAGATAGCAGCAGAGAAACTACTAAACATCAGGTATATTTCACAACCAATGGTATTCCTGACAGATACAAAAGCTTTACTTTAGTCATTCAAGTCTGGAAAATTACCAGGTATATGGACACTACTATATGAACTAGGCAGCCGATGTAAGGATACCATCCCATTGTGGAGTTCCTGGCAATATAAGAGCTGATAAACTAGCTAAGAAACGTGTAACCGAAGAACAACCTGATGTACCAGTCTGTTATCAACAGAAGAAAAGAATAATCAAATCAATCAGAAAGCCACCGAAAGTAGCACAAGATGATTACCATATTATGGACAGACCAGAGAATGTCATTATTCTATGCCTTAGAAGAGGGCATAATCAACTTGCCAGTCACATGTATACAAAATTTAAGATTGGCGAATCAGCCATGTGTACCTGTGGACTGGCACCTGAGACAACAGATCACATCCTCCAAGACTGTCTCAAATACAATGGTTTCCCGCTAGATTACAAAAAACAGTGAAGTTCTTCTAGAGCCAACATTGAGAGACACTTTATTTCAAGTGGACGAAAGAAACCAAACTTCAAGGGCCGCTAAGAGACTTTGAAGAAGCTTACAAAAGTGGTCAGTGAAGTTCATCTCTACCCGTGTCAACACCATCTCTACCGTGTCAACACCATCTCTACCCGTGTCAACACCAACTCTACCCGTGTCAACACCATCTCTACCCGTGTCAACACCATCTCTACCGTGTCAACACCATCTCTACCCGTGTCAACACCATCTCTACCCGTGTCAACACCATCTCTACCCGTGTCAACACCATCTCTACCGTGTCAACACCATCTCTACCGTGTCAACACCATCTCTACCCGTGTCAACACCATCTCTACCATGTCAACACCAACTCTACCTGTGTCAACACCATCTCTACCCGTGTCAACACCATCTCTACCGTGTCAACACTATCTCTACCCGTGTCAACACCATCTCTACCCGTGTCAACACCATCTCTACCGTGTCAACACTATCTCTACCCGTGTCAACACCATCTCTACCGTGTCAACACCAACTCTACCTGTGTCAACACCATCTCTACCCGTGTCAACACCATCTCTACCGTGTCAACACCATCTCTACAGTGTCAACACCAACTCTACCTGTGTCAACACCAACTCTACAGTGTCAACACCATCTCTACCCGTGTCAACACCATCTCTACCGTGTCAACACCATCTCTACACCATCTCTACCATGTCAACACCAACTCTACCGTGTCAACACCAACTCTACCGTGTCAACACCAACTCTACCCGTGTCAACACCATCTCTACCGTGTCAACACCATCTCTACCGTGTCAACACCATCTCTACCGTGTCAACACCAACTCTACCCGTGTCAACACCATCTCTACCGTGTCAACACCATCTCTACCGTGTCAACACCAACTCAACCCGTGTCAACACTAGCTCCAGCTCTACCCATGTCAACACCAACTCTACCCGTGTCAACACCAACTCTAGCCGTGTCAACACCAACTCTACCCGTGTCAACACCAACTCTACCCGTGTCAACACCAGCTCCAGCTCTACCCATGTCAACACCATCTCTACCGTGTCAACACCAACTCTACCCGTGTCAACACCAACTCTACCCGTGTCAACACCAGCTCCAGCTCTACCCATGTCAACACCAACTCTACCCGTGTCAACACCAACTCTACTACCCACTACTTGGAAACATTAGACAAGCAGCAAAAAGCCATCAAGAATAAACCATCAAGAATAAACCTCCTGGCCTGTTTTCTCATGGTGTGATTTTGCTCATCCACACGTGGCAAAGATTTTGCAGAAAGTATCAGTAAGGAAGAAATGGGAACTTAGCAACTTCCCATCCAATAGTCCTAATCTGTCACCCTGTGATTTATATTTGTTCAGACCTCTTTAAAAAAGCTGCCCATTTCATACAGATGCAAACATAATTAACATGGTAAACACTTGGTTAAGTGAGCAACCACAATTCTTTTTGTTGTGTGCTGATGATATTTGCCTCCTATCTAAGCAATGGCATCCTTGCCTAAATACTTACAGCAACTTTTTCTGACCAACCCACTGTGCATAATTCATTTTAAAATGAACGCGTTGTTTAATTATGACATACTGTTGATATTTCTTTCATGCTTTTGTAATAGAGTCATTGGAACAGGTTTCAAATGACCACTCCTTAAATATTAAAAAAAATATTACTTTTATAAATAAGAATATGCTAACATGCTTGTTCAAATGTATGTTCACAATGAGTCTTAAGACCACATCAGTGTCTCAAGAATTAAAAAGAAACATCATTGTTGTTACTATCGGGTGCCACTTAAAGGCAGCATTTGGCTTCTGTCAGTGCTGCCCTCTGATTGCACCCTTCATCAACATCATCTAGCCACACCTAGAAAGCATTGTTATAACTTTGGCTCCTGTTCGTGTTGTTATTTTACTGTATGTTTCTTAATGTTAATAACTGAACCCTTGCTAACAGCTGTTTTTATCCATTCTATGTTACATTTCAAATACCATTACTGCAATTTGCAAAATACAATAAATATTTGTAATACATTATATTGTGTTTATTTTATTCATAATTTTAGATTAAACCAGTGCTTTAACTTAAAAAAAAAAAACAACCCCACACTGCTAGACTCATGAAAAAAACATGGTTGAGTGTGCAATCACAATCCCTTTTTTGTGGATGGCATTCGCTGCAATGGCATGCTTGCCTGAATGCCTACAGCTATATTTTCTGACCAACTCATGGTGCACAACTCATTCCAAATGAATTCTTTGTTGTATTATGACACACTGTTGATTTTTCTTCCATGATTTTGTAATAAAGCCATTGGAACAGGTTTCAAATGACTATTCTTTACATATTACATTTAAAGATACGAATATGTTAACATGCTTGCTTAAATGTATGTTCACAATGAGTCTTAAGACCACATCAGTGTCTCAAGAAGGAAATAGGAACATCAACACGTAATCCATCTGTGGAAGCGGTTGTTGTTACTATCGGGTGCCACTTAAAGGCAGCACTTGGCTTCTGTCAGTGCATGCCCTCTGATTGCACCCTTCATCAGCGTCATCAATTTGAATTGGCCAAGTTCAACCGCTACCTAGGGAGTTAGCCGGCCCCCCCAAAAAAAAAAAACCCACTGCTAGACATGTAAAAACCATGGTTCAGTGTGCAACCACAACCCCTTTTTCTGTGGATGGCATTCGCTGCAATGGCATGCTTACCTGAATACATACAGGTACATTTTCTGACCAACTCATGGTGCACAACTAATTCCAAATGAATGCTTTGTTTTATTATGACACATTGCTGATTTTTCTTCCATATGTTTGTAATAAAGCCATTGGAACAGGTTTCAAATGACAACTACTTATATTTTAAAAGAATATTATCAGGTTAGTTGCGTATCCTTTTACAGGACGTTGCAGAACCAACCCCAACATCCCCTGGCTATTGTGTGGTTTTTTTCTAGGCAAATTTATGTCCAGTAGTTTGCCATTGCTTTCTGGACGGTCGGCTTTCTTGATACCACTGTCGAAACCAACAGCAAGGCGCATGGCCCGTAGCTAGGATCGAACCCAGCATCCCGGCATTACGAAGCATTCGCATCGACTTAGCCACAGAGCCGACAAAAGAATATTACTTTTATAAATAAGAATATGTGAACATGCTTGTTCAAATGTATGTTCACAATGAGTCTTAAGACCACATCAGTGTCTCAAGAATCAAAAAGAAACATCAACACACACAATCCATCTGTGGAAGCCGTTGTTGTTACTATCGGGTGCCACTTAAAGGCAACACTTGGCTTCTGTCAGTGCTGCCCTCTGATTGCACCCTTGGTAATAGCTGCTTTTATCTACTCTCTGTCACATTTCAACTGCCATTATAGCAACTGGTAAAGATATTAATTTATGAAGTACATTAGAATGTGCTTATTTTATTCAAAATTTTACAATAAACCAGTGCTCCGACTTTGAAAAACACACAATATTAGACTCATGCAAGGACCATGGCTCAGTAAGCTAGCACAATCCTCTTTTTGTGGATGACATTCAATGCCTACACAAGCAAAGGGATGCTTGCCTGAATGTCCACGGCAACATTTTTGACCAACCCATGGTGCATAATTCATTCAAAATGAATGCTTTGTTTAAATATGCCTTTGTTATAAAGCCAGTGTGGCTTTTTTTCTGTACTATACCAATGCGAACATAACTCATAATATGAACAGTAGGGTTCTAATCACTTTGGGATGTGAGTGCAGGGACTGGGCAGCTGGTGCTGCAGAATCACAAGTTCAACAAATGACTCATGACAATTCCCGCCCAAGTGATGTGATTGTCTATACAGATGGCTCTGTGTTGAGGGGCAGCTGAAGTGCATGGGGGTTCATAGCAAAGGCGAATGGATGTCGCTTGCTGCAATAAAGCCTGACACATGGTATCACAACCCCTAGTTTACAAATTTAGCTGGCTTGAGAATCTGCTGTACACACATGACGTGATTGTAACTGACTCACAGAGCATGTTGAGAAAGGTAGAAACAGGCATGCTCCGTGCAGAGTGGCAAGCATCGATTCAAAGGTCCTGGGTAGTTAGCATCCTTTGGATATTTCTCCAGATCATGCCGGTGTGTTGAGAAATCAGCAGAGAGATAAATTGGCCGGTTATGCACCACTCTGTGGTGAACTGATGTATGACAAGCTGGATGTTGTAAGGGAACAAGTGAAAAGTGGCGAGGCACAGATAGATCATTACGGTCTGAGGAGAATGGCACTGTGAGGAATCACAAGTGAATCTGGTCGACACTCAAGGAAAAGGCGAGATAGATATACAATCAGACAGTTACTGGTACAATTATAGCTCTTTGTTTGCTGCTGAAGATGGGGACAGAGCGCTTTATAGGGGTGTCCCGAGTGCTGTGATGTCGATTCTTAATTCAACATGAACAGTAAGAAATAATACATCTAAGAAAATATACACCAAGAGGGTAATTTTGAGTTTCTATCTGACCTGCATCTTGCAGTGTTAATGGAAGTCAGGCGGGAACAAATATTAAAGCAAAACTCGTGAATTTGCTTGCACAGAAAGGAACAAACATCAATTTTCACTGTAAAAATTGATTAAAACTCATCGCTACTCTCAATGCATAATGAAGTCATTACATTGCATAATGGTGGGTTGTGCCACACAAATATTTTATTTGTATTATTGTATCTGGGGAGGAAAGTGACATGTTCGTCACGCTGGATTTTTTGTTTCTAAACTGCACGACAAATGTCACACTGATGAAGGGTTCTTTATGAGTCAATTCAAACTACATACAGTTTATATGTGCTGTTCAATTACTCACCATAGCCACCAATTATCCTTCGTATGACAAACAGTACATATACATATTTCCATATGCATGGGAGTGGCCGTGGCGGGGCGGCTAAATGTGCGCTGCGGATCGGAAGGACGTGGGTTCACTCCCTGGTGGAGCCAGACTTTTTTCAAAAACGGCCTTGGCTCTCAGGTCGACCGAGCCTTGAGTGGGTACAGGGTGCAGTCCCAGGAAGTAAAGGCAGCCAGCGTGCAGCTGACCACATCACCCATTTTGTGCCAATTGGTCTATAAAAAATATAGGCCTAGACCTATATGCCCTATACGCCTAAAGGCGTAGAAAAGGGTCCTTACTTACTCATATCCATATGCATGCCTACTGTGAGGCTAAAGTAAACAAGGTAGCATACTGAACACAACTGCAACAACACAGTGGTGATACCAGCAGTGACTGAAATATTTAAGACAGACCTGCCATTACTGTAACACTTGCCTGCACTATCAGAGTCAATGGCACCAAAAATAGCCAAGAGGTGGGCTCGCAAACAGATGCGAATAGACTGTGCCATGTCCACGCCTTCTTTCACTTGTACCAGACCCTGAAGAAGAAGGTAATAAATTATCAGCAAAAAACGTCACAGGAATACAACAGACAGACAAACACATACAGTGCACATCTGAGACAGTTCAATTTTTACCAGAAAGTTATAAACAGACAGACAAGGCTGGAGGAGAAAACTAACTAAAGTACATACGCACATACATACATTCATACAGAGAAAGAGAAAGACACAGAGAGACAAATATGTTGTCCAAATACTCATACAAAAGCATGATACGCTAACAAGCCTGGGTGATCACATTTCTCTGTTTAACATGATCACTAGTCTTGGATCTGATCTGTGTTCTTGTCTCCATTATGCTATGTCACCAAATCATATAGGTATTATCTTCCTATACAAGTAAGGTAACTGTAAAAAAGCTAAGGAATACGGAGAAGAAAAAGAGGAGTAGAATGTGAAAGAAGAGGAGGTGGAGGTACAGAAGAATAAATACAAGTAAAATAAGCTATTATCAATGAAGTGTGCCGGCTCAAGCTAAGTAACATTTTCTGGATTATAAAAAGCAATTTCCAGATACAAGCCATGGACATGCAGGAGAGAGATCCTATTAGCTGAAAGCCTGACTGAGATACTGTATTTAACAGTAAAATCCTATTAGCTGAAAGCCTGACTGAGATACTGTATTTAACAGTAAAATCCTATTAGCTGAAAGCCTGACTGAGATACTGTATTTAACAGTAAAATCCTATTAGCTGAAAGCCTGACTGAGATACTGCATTTAACAGTAAAATCCTATTAGCTGAAAGCCTGACTGAGATACTGTATTTAACAGTAAAATTGGGAGATACTTTGTAATGTCAAATGAAAATGAAATGCAGAAAAAAAGAAGCATCCACTCACTTGCAGGTACTGAATATCCACATGCATGTCCTTCAGGGCTACCTCCACTAGCTGCTGCACTGAACCGTGTCTGCTGACTAGACTCCTGACAAACTCCTGCAGGGGTCTGCGGACTCGGGTCAGCACTTGGGCACCACCCATAACAAGGGAAAACAAGTCTGGTATCCCAACATGGGGAGCAACAGCCTCCAACAGGGATATGATGACACTCGACTCTGCCATGTGCCAAATGTAGGTATTTAATATTTATTTGCCAAAAATACAAGTTTGAGAAAATAAACTATACACTTTAAACTTTGCAGTCCTCCTTTCAAACAGTGTAAAGGGAATCAGACATTTGATCATGTCTGTCCACAAACACTGTGGGGATTTAAATCTGTTACTGAACTGAAAGAATACACAAATAATGTATATCTGCAGATAAAACTGTCTGTCCCTCACAACTGACAATAAATGCTGAAGAAACTAAGAATGTCAGAAACTTTGAATTCTAGCTACATAAAAAAAACCACAATGGAGGTTGTTCAACAGAAGTCACAAGCAGCATGCATCTTTCCTGTAGAAACATATGAATGTGAGTTGTGGACCATCTCACAGTCCTAAAGAAATTAACAGGCTTTTGGGCTGAAATGCAATGGACAAATTCTCAGAATACAATAGACAAAGAAGACAAAATACCAACACCCTAAAGGGTCTGAACATCAAGGAAGATTGTAAATAGCATCTTGTCTCTGAAACTGAAATATCTGAGCCATATCAAGCACCAGGGCATATTGGAAAAACATAACAGAAGACGGCATGATGGCAGAAACAAAAGAGCATGGACCAAGAGACTGAGTTTATTTCAGGCAAACTGTGACGAGATCAACTTTCTGCAAAGGACCTGCTACATGATGATGAGTTGAAACTTGTAAAAGGCTGAGCTGAAACCAAAATTACATAATAGCATCAACGTGTGAAATTAAATCAACCATATGAAGAGTTTTTTTCATCATTACTACTTTTGTTAAGAGCTTTTTCATCATTACTACTTTTGTTAAGAGCTTTTTCATCATTACTACTTTTGTTAAGAGCTTTTTCATCATTACTACTTTTGTTAGGAGTTTTTTCATCATTACTACTTTTGTTAAGAGCTTTTTCATCATTACTACTTTTGTTAAGAGCTTTCTCATCATTACTACTTTTGTTAAGAGCTTTTTCATCATTACTACTTTTGTTAAGAGCTTTTTCATCATTACTACTTTTGTTAAGAGCTTTTTCATCATTACTACTTTTGTTAGGAGTTTTTTCATCATTACTACTTTTGTTAAAGAGCTTTTTCATCATTACTACTTTTGTTAAGAGCTTTCTCATCATTACTACTTTTGTTCACATTTGCTTAGTAATATCTACAACAGAAATGTTCTTTTAATATGTTGCTGTAATCGAGAAATGACTGAGAATCGTACATAACTTTATACACATGTGACTCTGTGAGGCCAACATTCAGACTCAGATGACTAAGTATTTGGCAAATTTGCAGGATCTGATCCAGAAAGAGGAGGTAGCAATCTCAGTTCCATGACTGTTCAGTTTGTTGGGTCTTGTTATTTTACAGGATTGCCTGCTTTAATAACTGAAAATATTCTCCACAATAGTCGTCTTCTGAACAGTTTCCCTCTTTTTGTTTTTGTTCACAGGCTAGAAAGTTCTGCTGTGTTCACTGGCTAGAAAGTCCTGCTGTGTTCACTGGTTGGAAAGTCCTGCTGTGTTCACTGGCTAGAAAGTCCTGCTGTGTTCACTGGCTAGAAAGTCCTGCTGTGTTCACTGGCTAGAAAGTCCAGCTGTGTTCACTGGCTAGAAAGTCCAGCTGTGTTCACTGGCTAGAAAGTCCTGCTGTGTTCACTGGCTAGAAAGTCCTGCTGTTCACTGGTTGGAAAGTCCTGCTGTGTTTACTGGCTAGAAAGTCCTGCTGTGTTTACTGGCTAAAAAGTCCTGCTGTGTTCACTGGCTAGAAAGTCCTGCTGTGTTCACTGGCTAAAAAGTCCTGCTGTGTTCACTGGCTAGAAAGTCCTGCTGTGTTCACTGGCTAGAAAGTTCTGCTGTGTTCACAGGCTAGAAAGTCCTGCTGTGTTCACTGGATAGAAAGTCCTGCTGTGTTAACTGGCTAGAAAGTCCTGCTGTGTTCACTGGCTAGAAAGTCCTGCTGTGTTAACTGGCTAGAAAGTCCTGCTGTGTTCACTGGTTGGAAAGTCCTGCTGTGTTTACTGGCTAGAAAGTCCTGCTGTGTTTACTGGCTAAAAAGTCCTGCTGTGTTCACTGGCTAGAAAGTCCTGCTGTGTTCACTGGCTAAAAAGTCCTGCTGTGTTCACTGGCTAGAAAGTCCTGCTGTGTTCACTGGCTAGAAAGTTCTGCTGTGTTCTTAGGCTAGAAAGTCCTGCTGTGTTCACTGGATAGAAAGTCCTGCTGTGTTAACTGGCTAGAAAGTCCTGCTGTGTTCACTGGCTAGAAAGTCCTGCTGTGTTAACTGGCTAGAAAGTCCTGCTGTGTTAACTGGCTAGAAAGTCCTGCTGTGTTCACTGGTTGGAAAGTCCTGCTGTATTAACTGGCTAGAAAGTCCTGCTGTATTAACTGGCTAGAAAGTCCTGCTGTGTTAACTGGCTAGAAAGTCCTGCTGTGTTCACTGGCTAGAAAGTCCTGCTGTGTTAACTGGCTAGAAAGTCCTGCTGTATTAACTGGCTAGAAAGTCCTGCTGTGTTAACTGGCTAAAAAGTCCTGCTGTGTTCACTGGCTAGAAAGTCCTGCTGTTCACTTATGGACTTTGGTCTTCTGCTGGGACTAGAGTTCTGAGTGCACATTCGGTTTACATATATGACTTTCTTGTGTGTGCAGACCGCTGGTTCTTTGATTTTTAGACCGATGCACTCCGACTGAAGGACTCATCAATCCTATCTTCGCTGACCAGGCCCCAGGGTTGGAATCTGTTTCCTGGTTGACTACCAAAGGTGTAGATAAGTCTGGACCAGCATGAGCCCTGATCCAGGCGCACCATCGTGTGTGGATCTTTGTCCCCAACAGTTTTGATAAATTATATCTCTACAGGGAAGGTGACTGTTCTTCTTCACCCCATACTTTCATCCTTAGATAACATATCTGCCCTGTCATTAGCTGGTGTATCACAGTGTGACTGTATCCTTTGTGATACCACACCACATAGAGTACAGACCGTAAACTTTGAACAAATAAAATGTTCACAAACAATGCTAATTTAGGAAAAAACAAAAAAAGATATTTGTACCACCAGCTCTGTCTTCAGTTGCAGTTCTGACTTGAGAAAACAAATCAGCCAAAGTCCAGTTTGGAATCGCTGGACTGCCTCTGCTGGTGGCCGTTGCAGCGGTACTCTGTGGAAAAAGTATACTGATGAAAATCAGCACTGATGACTTTTAAAAATCTATTTTTAATTTCTGTATTGTACTAAATTGGTCAAAGATTAAACATTGACATCATAATACCTATCTCTATTGTTTTATTTTAATGGATACAAATCTCTTCCTAAACATAAAAATCTGAGTAACCTTAAGTAACGAAAATTTTTTATAATTTGCAGCAACAGCATCAAGAAACTTTCTGGAGAGATCATACTTTCAATACAATTTCAGCGAAATTAAATACAGTTCAAACAGCTTAATGACAGCACACATCCTGATGAAAACAAACTTTTTACAATGAAAACAAATACTCGTCTAAATCAGACCCAAAAAAAGAAGAAAAAACTATATCTGCAGTTTTTCACTTCATGCACATAAGCCTATCACAAGTTTAACACACACACACAAATGAAGATAGAAGAATATTTCTGAATCTAAAATCTGTGGCTAAGAACAAAACTGTTTCAACAGGGATAAGTTAAGAACTGATATCATAGCATTTGGGACGTTCACATAAGTGCACGATCCCATCTTCAGCAGTCAGCTCAGAGTTCCAATTCTGATGGTAGAAATAACAGTCTCAGTATGTCCATCTCAACCCTCCCCCTCAGCGTTGAAGTGTCAACCAGACCCGTGGTCACGTCTCGCCGCACTCCTCACTGCACTGTTTCAGCTTTCAGCCTCCGCTCAAGGGAAGGGGGTGTGGGGGTACTGCAAAATATTTGAGGCATGAGGAGGTCCTCGCCTTCTACCCGGGAGGGGAGGGGGAGCATGGAGGTCCTGCTATATACTCAAGAGAGGTGTGATCTGCAAAGGGGTGGAGTTCACTGCTATAGATAATTATATCACCTGGGCAGGAACTGTCATCAATTAGTTGTTGAACTGATTCTGCAGTGCCTGCTGGCCAGACCCTGCACATGTGGCCTAATATGATCAGAACCTAACACAAGTCTGATTACTGCTTAGGTTCCACGGCCCACTCCTCTCTTTGTCAATATTATCAAGCCGGCAAACCTAAGAGGACTTGCTATAGGATACTGATGAGCTTGACTCCAGATCTCACAACTAACAAACAGAACCAACAATTGGAGAAACAGTAAACTGACTTAAGTATAGTATCTTTCTCAACTCAAGAGGGCATGGCACTGCTCAAACTGTGGAGAATTCCACACACAAAAAGAAACCAAAGTACAAGATATACGTCACGATTTGGAGATGTGGCATTAGCCTCTAATTAACTGACTGTTTCAAATTCAGTTGTGGACAATGTGTTCAAATAACAGACCCAAAGATGCTGACTGAAGACCCAATGGTAGCAATTACCAATGGTCCTGAACAAGTACTAGAAAAGTGCATGTGTGAAGTAACATTTATAAGGGAAATGTGTAAATATAGTAGTGTGTGTATGTGTGCGAGGCGAAGTGCATGTGAGTGTGACGGAGAGGGAGGGAGGCAGGTAATATATGTTTTTAAAAAAACTAGAACGAAAACTTGCATAAGATATTTCTTATCATCAATTTCCAATTTTGCTGTTATACATCATGGAAGGAACAGTTTACAATCTAGCACCGGCCTATTATCATTCCATGTGAAAGTACCATTTTTAATGACATCAATCCATATACTCCCAAGAAGTCCTCTTGCTCTCATGTCGGATCTTTTTAGGATTAATAACTGTGTACGTAGGTAAGGTATTTCTAACTACTACTCAACTGCTATATCCGACAGAAATGAATCAATCCAAGGTTCTGGTATTTTCTTGTCAGGATGAAAGGCTGTCTGAAATCTTCTCAAACCTGTCTTCTAGCAGTCAGGTTACTGAACATCCTGCTGCACTCAAACAAGTGAGTGTGTCTGAGTCACCTTCCAGATGAGGCAGCTGTCTACAGCAGTGGACTTACCATAGCCTGCATGATGAGGCAACTGTCTACAGCAGTGGACTTACCGCAGCCTGCATGATGCCTGTCTACAGCAGTGGACTTACCGCAGCCTGCATGATGAGGCAGCTGTCTACAGCAGTGGACTTACCGCAGCCTGCATGATGAGGCAGCTGTCTACAGCAGTGGACTTACCGCAGCCTCCATGATGAGGCAGCTGTCTACAGCAGTGGACTTACAGCAGCCTGCATGATGAGGCAGCTGTCTACAGCAGTGGACTTACCGCAGCCTGCATGATGAGGCAGCTGTCTAAAGCAGTGGACTTACCATAGCCTGCATGATGAGGCAGCTGTCTACAGCAGTGGACTTACCGCAGCCTGCATGAGGCAGCTGCGTCTACAGCAGTGGACTTACCGCAGCCTGCATGATGCCAGATGAGGCAGCTGTCTACAGCAGTGGACTTACCGCAGCCTGCATGAGGCAGCTGTCTACAGCAGTGGACTTACCGCAGCCTGCATGAGGCAGCTGTCTACAGCAGTGGACTTACCGCAGCCTGCATGATGCCTGTCTACAGCAGTGGACTTACCGCAGCCTGCATGATGCCTGTCTACAGCAGTGGACTTACCGCAGCCTGCATGATGAGGCAGCTGTCTACAGCAGAGGACTTACCGCAGCCTGCATGATGCCTGTCTACAGCAGTGGACTTACCGCAGCCTGCATGATGAGGCAGCTGTCTACAGCAGAGGACTTACCGCAGCCTGCATGATGCCTGTCTACAGCAGTGGACTTACCGCAGCCTGCATGATGAGGCAGCTGTCTACAGCAGAGGACTTACCGAACAGCCTGCATGATGCCTGTCTACAGCAGTGGACTTACCGCAGCCTGCATGATGAGGCAGCTGTCTACAGCAGTGGACTTACAGCAGCCTGCATGATGAGGCAAGCTGTCTACAGCAGAGGACTTACCGCAGCCTGCATGATGCCTGTCTACAGCAGTGGACTTACCGCAGCCTGCATGATGAGGCAGCTGTCTACAGCAGTGGACTTACCGCAGCCTGCATGATGAGGCAGCTGTCTACAGCAGAGGACTTACCGCAGCCTGCATGATGCCTGTCTATAGCAGTGGACTTACCGCAGCCTGCATGATGAGGCAGCTGTCTACAGCAGAGGACTTACCGCAGCCTGCATGATGCCTGTCTATAGCAGTGGACTTACCGCAGCCTGCATGATGAGGCAGCTGTCTACAGCAGAGGGACTTACCGCAGCCTGCATGATGCCTGTCTACAGCAGTGGACTTACCGCAGCCTGCATGATGCCTGTCTACAGCAGAGGACTTACCGCAGCCTGCATGATGCCTGTCTACAGCAGTGGACTTACCACAGCCTGCATGATGCCTGTCTACAGCAGAGGACTTACCGCAGCCTGCATGAGGCAGCTGTCTACAGCAGTGGACTTACCGCAGCCTGTATGATGCCTGTCTACAGCAGTGGACTTACCGCAGCCTGCATGATGCCTGTCTACAGCAGAGGACTTACCGCAGCCTGCATGATGCCTGTCTACAGCAGTGGACTTACCGCAGCCTGCATGATGCCTGTCTACAGCAGTGGACTTACCGCAGCCTGCATGATGCCTGTCTACAGCAGTGGACTTACCACAGCCTGCATGATGCCTGTCTACAGCAGTGGACTTACCACAGCCTGCATGATGCCTGTCTACAGCAGTGGACTTACCACAGCCTGCATGATGCCTGTCTACAGCAGTGGACTTACCGCAGCCTGCATGATGCCTGTCTACTGCAGTGGACTTACCGCAGCCTGCATGATGAGGCAGCTGTCTACAGCAGTGGACTTACCGCAGCCTGCCAGATGAGGCAGCTGTCTACAGCAGAGGACTTACCACAGCCTGCATGATGCCTGTCTACAGCAGTGGACTTACCGCAGCCTGCATGATGAGGCAGCTGTCTACAGCAGAGGACTTACCACAGCCTGCATGATGCCTGTCTACAGCAGTGGACTTACCGCAGCCTGCATGATGAGGCAGCTGTCTACAGCAGAGGACTTACCGCAGCCTGCATGATGAGGCAGCTGTCTACAGCAGTGGACTTACCATAGCCTGCCTGAGGCAGCTGTCTACAGCAGAGGACTTACCGCAGCCTGCATGATGCCTGTCTACAGCAGTGGACTTACCGCAGCCTGCATGATGCCGCTGATCATAGGTCCCATTTCTGGCGGGAATGAGCTGGCTTGATTAGTGTCACTGGCCACGTTGAGAAACTGTGAGAACAACTCGTTCAGGTTGGGTGGAAGTTCACCACTGATGCTGGAAGCAGCTCCTGTCCTTGCTCCAGGTATAGAAGATGTTGAACTTTGTGAGGCAGCACCTGTAGCAGCACTAGAACTTGTTCTAGCTGCATTATTTAATGCTTGTTGTGATGCTAAGTTGGCTGAAAGACAATCAGGATTTAAAAAAAAAAAAAAAACTACAACAAGCAAATAGACTACAAAACCATCTACACACAGTCTGAAATCATAAAAGTAGGTCATGGCTTTTCACTTCCTATACAAAAACTTCAAAGATTAGAAACACAGCTCACAACAGAATACTTATTCATTTAAATATCTTACTGTGTGTGGGTGTATGAGGAATTCAAGGGAAAACTAGTTTTACAAGTTTATAAGCAGGCATTTTTTGTCTTATAGTAGAGCACACGCATTCAGACTGAAGAAAACAAAAACCCCACATGTGTTGTGTTATCAAGAACAGACTTCAGTTCATATTCATGAGGAGACAGAGGATCAGAAACATAATGAAAAAGAAAACAAGGCTAGTGGCAGATTTCATTAGAAAACGGGTGAAATGGTTCGGCCATCAAACTTGGCTGACAAGAGACAATACACCACAGCACAATGACATACATACACATACAAGTGCAAATTGAAAGAGAAGTTTACTATGTAAACAATGGACAGAGAGAAAAACAGAGTGCCTAGAACCCCCCCCCCCCCCCATAACTAAAGCATACAAATGGGCATTCTCCTGCTGTTTGCTCTTGGCAGAAGTGCATACCATGAAGGACAATCTTTACTTGAAACAAGCAGCTCCTGGATGGTGACATCATTCATGGCTTCTGTCCCACAAGACATCAACAGCAGTGTGTGAGTGATCAAATACATTCTTCATCAAAGAAAACACTCAGCAACTGCTTCACCGCTTCCTACACACAATGTTGGCTGCCTTAACTGTCAAGATCTGGCAGCAATGTTCAGTTTTATTTTCATCAACAACAAAATCCCCAGTATCCAGAATTTAAAGTTATTTCAGATTTGACTGCTATGTGCCTGTACAGATATTTCAGCTGATTAAAAGTATTTTGTAAGAACAAAGATTATCTAAGAGAAAACAAGTGGTTTTCTTTCTGCTATCTTTTGTCTGTCAAACTTCTATCACTTCTGTTATCCTCAGTTCTGAAATAACAAATAATAATGTTGTCATCCTAGATTTATACCTTGTCCAACTTGGCCAATGATTTCCCCAACCATGCCAGATACCATCGTGCTGAGGTTAGGAACCTGAAACCACACAGGATGAAACTTATAAACACGTCAAGATATTTTCACATATGATCTGACCGGCTGAAGGGTGAGCACCTGAAACCACACATGATGAAACTTATAAACACATCAAGATATTTTCACATATGATCTGGCCGGCTGAAGGGTGAGCACCTGAAACTACACATGATGAAACTTATAAACACATCAAGATATTTTCACATATGATCTGGCCGGCTGAAGGGTGAGCACATGAAACTACACATGATGAAACTTTTAAAAACATCAAGATATTTTCACATATGATCTGGCCGGCTGAAGGGTGAGCACCTGAAACCACACATGATGAAACTTATAAACACGTCAAGATATTTTCACATAATGATCTGGCTAGCTGAAAGGTAAGCTTCTGAAACCACACATGAGGAAACTTATAAACACATCAAGATATTTTCACATATGATCTGTCTGGTTGAAGGGTGAGCACCTGAAACCACACATGATGAAACTTATAAACACGTCAAGATATTTTCACATAATGATCTGGCTAGCTGAAAGGTAAGCTTCTGAAACCACACATGAGGAAACTTATAAACACATCAAGATATTTTCACATATGATCTGTCTGGTTGAAGGGTGAGCACCTGAAACCACACAGGATGAAACTTATAAACACTTCAAGATATTTTCACATATGATCTGGCTGGTTGAAGGGTGAGCATCTGACCAATGCTGGGTCACTAGAAACTATGATAATATACTAGAAATATCACAAATTAGTGGGGCTATCAAAAACATGCACAAATATACAACTAATTAAATGCTTCAGGCACTCAAAGGGTGGGCAATACAATACTGGCCACAGACAATTTTAAGTTCAAGAACTGAAAAGATAGTATTTAAAAATAGATACCATCAATGTCATCAGTTTTCTCTGTTGCCATTAAGTGTCACAGGCAGGACAGTTTACAATCCATTGCTTGATGGGTAGCAATAGTTATTGTCATTCTGTGTCTTTAATATCAATCTCCTAGGCAGACCTCTTGCCTTCACATATCTGTTCAGGTTTAGTGCCTGTGTCGGTAGTTGGTGTGGCAGCATTCTAATGAGATGACCAAAATATCTATCTTCTGTTTCTCAATGAATTCACTGCATGCTGTTGTACCACAGTCTGTCTGATAGTATCATTTCTTACTATGCCTCGGATGGTTGAGATGGCAGCTGTTCTCAGGCATCTCATTTCACAGATGTTAATTCAAAAATTTTACATAGCGTAGCCTTTGGTTATGTCCAAGAGGCATTTACAGCACATGTTGGTAATATGCTGTTTATAATCTGTTTCTTGACTGTCATAATTATGTTAGGATATCATTTGGTAAGGGACGTCAGTTGGTATGGTATGATAAGTGCAGTGGCTCCAGGTTATGCCGGTGTGTTGGGAAATGAGCAGGCAGATAGACTGGCTGGTTCTGCACTGAACTGATGTATGACAAGCTGGATGTTGTGAGGGTCCTTTGGGAGCGAGTGAATAGTGCCGAAGAACAGATAGATCATTACGGTCTGAGGAGAATGGTACTGCGAGGAGCTACCAGGGGATCTGGCCGACACTTGATACTCAGGGGAAAGGTGAGACAGATATACAATCAGACAGTTACTGGTAGCATTGGAATTTTAACTCTTCACTTGCTGCAGGAGATGGGGACGGAGTGCTTGCAGGGGTGTCTGGAGTGCTGTGATGTCGATTTTTAATTCAACATTCTGTTTATGCTATGATACATGTTGGGTATATGTCACAGGGCATAATATGAACATGAATCATGACAAATTTGTTTTCTACAGCGCAAATCATGCACGTATGTAGAAGTATACGCACGAATGTAGAAGTATACGCGCGTATGTAGAAGTATACGAGCGTATGTAAAAGTATACGCGTGTATATAGAAATATTCGCATGTATGTAGAAGTATACACACGTATGAAGAAGTATACGCATGTATGTAGAAGTATACGCACGTATGTAGAAGTATACGTACAAATATAGAAGTATACGCAGGTATGTAGAGGTATACACACGTATGTAGAAGTATACACATGTATGTAGAAGTATACACACATATGTAGAAGTATACGCACATATGCAGAAGTATACACACATATGTAGAAGTATACGCACATATGCAGAAGTATACTCACATACGTAGAAGTATACAAACAGAGAAATCCCACTCAAGCCTTGTGCACATATGTAGAAGTATACACACGTATGTAGAAGTATACGCATGTATGTAGAAGTACATGCACATATGTAGAAGTATACAAACACAGAGAAATCCCACTCAAGCCTTGTGAACATATCTAGAAGTATACACACGTATGTAGAAGTATACACACGTATGTAGAAGTATACGCACATATGTAGAAGTATACAAACACAGAGAAATCCCACTCAAGCCTTGTGCACATATATAGAAGTATACACACGTATGTAGAAGTATATGCACATATGTAGAAGTATACAAACACAGAGAAATCCCACTTGAGCCTTGTGCACATATATATACACAGACATACCTGCTGCTGGGGCTGCTGTGATCTTGTCTGCTCTTGCAAGGCACTCAGAGCTGCCAGGGCTGTTGGTGACATATACTGAGGTGAGGCACAAGGTAGGTAGGGGTCAACAGAGAAATCCCACTCAGGCATTGTGCACATACTGAGATACACAGTCTGTATGTGCAGCTGGTTGCCTGACCTGGATCTTGTGGAGCTGGATGGAAGGGGAATGGTCGAGAGCTGTTGACCTGCTGCTGGTGACATATGCTGCTCAGTTCTTGTACCTGAACTAGTGAGGCAAGGCACTCAGAGCAATGTAGATAATGTATCCGTTACCACATCTAGCACTGTATTTATCTACTCAAGGTCAGGTAGGGGTCAACATAGCCATGCGAGCCAGGCATTGGCCGTACTGAGCCTGGCTGGTGCAGTCTGTTATGTGCAGCTGGTTGCCTGACCTGGCCTTGTGGAGCTGGATGGAAGGGGAATGGTCGAGGAGTGTTGGTTGACCTGCTGCTGGTGCCAATGCTGGGATCAGTTCTTGTACCTGAACTAGTGAAGCTGTTTTAGCAGTCCTGTCTCTACACACTTCATAATTGAAGACCTGTATCTATCACTTCATATTCAAGTCTGTCTCTATAACTTCATACTTCAAGCACCTGCCTTTATCACTTTATAACTCAAGACCTGCCTTTACCACATAATAATTCAAGACCTGGTTCTATCACTTCATAATTCAAGACCTGTCTCTATCACTTCCTAATTCAAGACCTGGTTCTATCACTTCATAATTCAAGTCCTGTCTCTATCACTTCATAATTCAAGTCTTGTCTCTATCACTTCATAATTCAAATCCTGTCTCTGTCACTTCATAATTCAAATCCTGTCTCTATCACTTCATAATTTAAGTCCTGTCTCTATCACTTCATAATTCAAGTCCTGTCTCTATCACTTCATAATTCAAGTCTTGTCTCTATCACTTCATAATTCAAGTCCTGTCTCTATCACTTCATAATTCAAGTCATGTCTCTATCACTTCATAATTCAAGTCCTGTCTCTATCACTTCATAATTCAAGTCCTGTCTCTATCACTTCATAATTCAAGTCCTGTCTCTATCACTTCATAATTCAAGTCCTGTCTCTATCACTTCATAATTCAAGTCCTGTCTCTATCACTTCATAATTCAAGACCTGTCTCTATCACTTCATAATTCAAGACCTGTCTCTGTCACTTCCTAATTCAAGACCTGGTTCTATCACTTCATAATTCAAGTCCTGTCTCTATCACTTCATAATTCAAGTCTTGTCTCTATCACTTCATAATTCAAGTCCTGTCTCTATCACTTCATAATTCAAGTCCTGTCTCTATCACTTCATAATTCAAGTCCTGTCTCTATCACTTCATAATTCAAGTCCTGTCTCTATCACTTCATAATTCAAGTCCTGTCTCTATCACTTCATAATTCAAGACCTGTCTTCTCTATCACTTCATATTCAATCACTTCATAATTCAAGTCCTGTCTCTATCACTTCATAATTCAAGACCTGTCTCTATCACTTTATAATTCAAGTCTTGTCTCTATCACTTCATAATTTAAGTGATGTCTCTATCACTTCATAATTCAAGACCTGTCTCTATCACTTCATAATTCAAGTCCTGTCTCTATCACTTCATAATTCAAGCACTTTCTCTATCCCCTTCTCTTCAAGCACTCTCTCCATATCACTATCATAATTCAACACTTACAGTCTCTATTTACTTGATAATTTGTACAACAAGGTCTGCTTTCACTTCAGATCTTTTTGTATGAAGCGCCTGCGTTGGTAATTGTTCTGACTGCATTCTTACTAGATAAGGAAACCATCTGATCTTCTGTTTCCCAATAAATCTGATGCATTGTGTTGTTCCTACAGTCTGTCTGATAACATCATTTCTAACTTTGTTTCAGATGTTGTCTCCATTTCTCAGGAATCTCATTTCACAGGTGTTAAATTTTAATAGGTTAGCATTGGATAATTTTCAAGTCTAGTACTGATAGCACAGTGTTGGTATGAATATGCCGCTTATAATCTGTTTCTTGGTGCTCATACTTATGTTTGGATGTCTTAATAGCGGTGTCAGGTGGTATATAAGTGCATTGGCATCTTGTTTCAATTTCCTGATCTATTCTCCTGTCCTATTAGAATTAACTTCCTAGAAATTTAAATTCCTTAATTTGTTTCAGATAATTACCATTCAGCCTGAAATGTAGCGGACTAGGAAATCTGCTGATCGCATTACTTCAGTTTTAGTAGTATTATTTTCATGTTATTTCTTCAGCGTGTTGAACCTGGCCTGTTCAAAGTTTCCTGCACTCTACTTCCCTCAATGCAGAACGGGCACTGATCATCTGAAAATAGTAGCTGATTTAATTGTGTGTAAATCTAATTCATTCTCTGGAAAGTGAAGTTCCTCATTTTCTGGATTTTCTGGGTCCACTGCTTTAAAGCTGGGTTCTTTTAATATTCTGTCTATGTATATAGTAAATAAGAAAGGAGATAGCAAACATCCCTGCCTCACTCCCGTACTGATTGTAAATGGATATGCCTTCTTGTAATGTTAGGAATTCCCGGGGAAATCCCAGAGAGTTCCCGATGGGGAGGACAAGGTCAGAGGACCAGTGATACAAGAGAAAAACGAGATAAGTGGGTCTCGAATATTCCGTGGTGAGTTAAATAAGGGATACAAGAAAAGCATGGGACTGGAACGGAAGACGTGAACCGAGAGACGGGAGTAAGACAGTTGAAGTTCGGACCTGGAAGGCTTTGCTAAAGGATAGATGTGTGATTCGAAAGAGGCTGATGGATCAAAGCAGTGTGTGAGAGGATTGACCAGGCCGTCAGAAATCAGCCAAGCAAAACGAACGCGAGGACGAAAGAATGCATGCCTACGATATGTTGTGATTCAGCGAATAAAAGTATACAACTGAAGATTGGTCTCTGCTGTATGGTAGCAACTTAGTGTTCGTCATACAGCAATGTGGCTTACAAAAACACACCCCTAGCAGAGCACATTGCACTTCCTGTGTTCTCGCTGTACTTTGGGAAGTGTGACACATGTCCATGTGTCTAGCAACTGTCAGTGTATCCCATAATCCTCAAGTTTGTTTCTGTCTACTCAAACACTTTTTCTTGATCTACAAACACATCAACTTATTCATGTTGATCACTGCTTTCAGGCACAAAACTGATTGTTATCTACCTCGTTTTCAGGGTTGAGTAGCTCTTTAAAATATTCTACCTAGCTTGCTAACCTTTGATCTGGATAAAATACAGGACTTCCTCTCTTGTTGTGTATAATGGTGGTTGCATTGTAGCATTCATCTCTTGCTTTCTCTAGCTGTCAAATATGGGCCTGCCAGCACTGATTTGTTTGTTCTAGAAAAGCGTAGTTAATTCCACTAGTTTTATGTGCACATGCAGTGTTTAATAGGTCTAGACATGAATATGGCAACTGCAACAGCAGAGAGGGAGAGGGGGAGAGGAAAGGTGGGGGAGGGGGGGGGGTCCTTATGACCCCAGTGGCTTCATGAATAAGTTGATGTACAATTTTCCTTGTTATCACAAATAGAATCCAGTCCAGAACCTTTGACGTCTCTCGTCAATGTATGTTGAAGGGTTTCTTATGGATGTCTATGATTCCTCAATCATTTTATTTCCTATTTCGTTGCCTGTCTAGTTATTTTCTGCTGGTTTACTCTCAGGATGTGTCTAGCACCATCTTCTTCCTCTTATAGTGGTTATCGGTGGCTGCCAAGTTATTTTCTTCAATTCTTTACTCCTCTTGAATTCATCTTATTTCATGTTCATTTTCCTCAAGTATTTGTTTTCAAAGGCATTTAAATCATTCCATTCTTTACTGGTTCTCCAACGTTAATTGGTGTTTGTAACAAAGGAAATAACATTATAATTTATAATAATCAACTTGGTTTTATTAGTATAAAATTTAGAGCTCCATATTTTGTTCAGGATTTTTATTTCCCTGGCTAACAAAATTACTACCTAAATAAGTAAATAGATATTACTTCATTCTTTTTGTCTCTAGTGTTACATCTGTTTGATCTGTTGTTGGTGTGTCAAAATATTGTCTTTTCATAACTTCTTTCTAGTCCAACATGTAACCCCGTACTTGCTGAATCATCTGTATTTCTTTGCATGTCATGGCTGTGTTTTCTTAGCAGAATAATTTCATCAGAAAATTGAGATCTTTCAACTGTGTGGTTCTCCACCTAGTCAATGCCGGTGTTAGTTCAATGGTGAACCAAAAACAGGAACAATAGTTTTCTCAATAAATGTTTTCCATCAACAATTGTTGAAATACTGGTACAGGTAGATAACAATAAACCCTGAAATAACTATCAATTCCAGATATTATGGATTTTGTGATAGAAATTTCCGGGAGATCGGACAGCAAAGGGTTAAGGCAGCCAACATAATGTGTGGTAAAGCCCAATTCATCACTGGCACCTTTCCGTCTTTCCAGACAATAGTGTTTTATTGTGCTATGAGGAGGCATGAGACTCACAGCCCATGGCGATGGCAAGTGTGACTAGCAAGACCCGCCCGGGTCAAGAAAAGTCTTCCATGATGATAGCATAAGATTTCAGGACCATTGTTGTCAACATTTGTGTTTAATCCGTTTCTTTTCAGACGCTCAGCTCTCATCCTTTCTACAGTAACTTTTTCCTTCAGTCTCATTCCCTTCCTGATACACCCTTTCCACACAACACGGTCCATGGCATTTTGTTCTATGTCCACCTCAATACCTGTATCATTCATGTCCCGCTTGCACACATCTTTATATCGTAGTAGAGGTCGGCCTCGACATCTTCTTCCTGTCTTTAATTCACTATAAAAGATGTCCTTAGGGACTCTGCCATCCATCCTCCAGGTGTGACCAAGCCACCTGAGCCCTAGTAGACTGAGCACAATTGCACATACATAAAATAGCAGGAAACAACATGAATGCACTTACCTTGGTGAAGCAGTACTTGGTAAGTGAAAGGTTGATGTAAACATGTTGCTGCCAGCACTACTGCTGGTGGTGGTGGTGTCTGCAGCTGTGTTTAGGCTGGTATTTGTTGGTGCATTCACTCCACTGACAGCACCTGTGGAGTTTAGATTTGTGGCCATATGTACAAATGTGCCTGCATTTACACCTGCACTGGGTGCAGCTAATACAGGTACACCTGTTTGCAGAGTAAGCAATGTGTTCTTTTTTCAAATGATGAAACTTGATTAAGTCTGCTTGTTTAGGAATGCTGATCTCAATGTAAACCAATAAAGGATCCTACCATGTGACTTGACAGCCTCATATTTTCTTGTCCAAACATCACTCAACAAAGTATGTACTCTAACAATTCAGCCAACTGACCTCTCAGTAACTGCTCTGGTACCATCATGGTGACTCCTAGAATAATTCAGCCAACTGACCTCTCAGTAACTGCTCTGGTACCCCCAGGGTGACTCCTAGCTAGAACAATTCAGCCAACTGACCTCTCAGTAACTGCTCTTCTACCATCAGGGTGACTCCTATAACAATTCAGCCAACTGACCTCTCTCTTAGTAACTGCTCTTCTACCATCAGCGGGACTCCTAGAACAATTCAGCCAACTGACCTCTCTCTTAGTAACTGCTCTTCTACCATCAAGGTGACTCCTAGAACAATTCAGCCAACTGACCTCTCAGTAACTGCTCTTCTACCATCAGCGGGACTCCTAGAACAATTCAGCCAACTGACCTCTCAGTAACTGCTCTTCTACCATCAGCGGGACTCCTAGAACAATTCAGCCAACTGACCTCTCTCTTAGTAACTGCTCTTCTACCATCAGCGGGACTCCTAGAACAATTCAGCCAACTGACCTCTCTCTCAGTAACTGCTCTTCTACCATCAGCGGGACTCCTAGAACAATTCAGCCAACTGACCTCTCTCTTAGTAACTGCTCTTCTACCATCAGCGGGACTCCTAGAACAATTCAGCCAACTGACCTCTCTCTCAGTAACTGCTCTTCTACCATCAGGGTGACTCCTATAACAATTCAGCCAACTGACCTCTCTCTTAGTAACTGCTCTTCTACCATCAGCGGGACTCCTAGAACAATTCAGCCAACTGACCTCTCTCTTAGTAACTGCTCTTCTACCATCAGCGGGACTCCTAGAACAATTCAGCCAACTGACCTCTCTCTTAGTAACTGTCTTCTACCATCAGCGGGACTCCTAGAACAATTCAGCCAACTGACCTCTCTCTTAGTAACTGCTCTTCTACCATCAGCGGGACTCCTAGAACAATTCAGCCAACTGACCTCTCTCTTAGTAACTGCTCTTCTACCATCAGCGGGACTCCTAGAACAATTCAGCCAACTGACCTCTCTCTCAGTAACTGCTCTTCAACCATTAGGGTGACTCCTAGAACAATTCAGCCAACTGACCTCTCAGTAACTGCTCTTCAACCATCAGCGTGACTCCTAGAACAATGTGCATCCTGAAGAATCATAACTCAGGACCAAGGTGTGCAGATGAATGCATCAGTTAGTACATAATGAGGTCCGAGATGATTTCTGACCTGAAAATTATTCACTCTATGTCTGGTTTTCCCTCTGTTCCTTGTTCTAGCCTCAGGTGCAGGAACTAATGCGTCCTCAGTCTAGTACATTTTGCTCTAAAGAACAAATTATGTCTTTATTGTAGTATTTCTAACATAAATTTACTTACAATATCTCCTTCTTTCTTGTTCTAACAGGAAAGAATACATAAAGGGAGGGGGGAGTAACAAATACGACTTAAGTATATTTGACATAAAGTACCTTCAATCTCTTCTTTGGATATAATACAAGTACAGGAATGAATATGAACGCATTCTAGTATATATGACAGAAATATACTTTCAATGTGATCTTTTTCTTGTTCTAACAAGAGCACAGGATTATCAATGTGCAAGTGCTGTCAATTACAATCACCAGCAATGAACAATCACCATACATACTTTCTCAGAGAAGGTTCAACAGTCAAGAAACTGAGTGCAACTGTTCTTAGAATAATCAGCTTCAACAGTCAAGAAACTGAGTGCAACTATACTTAGAATAATCTGCTTCAACAGTCAAGAAACTGAGTGGAACTATACTTAAAATAATCAGCTTCAACAGTCAAGAAACTAAATGCAACTGTACTTAGAATAATCAGCTTCAACAGTCAAGAAACTGAGTGCACTGTTCTTAGAATAATCAGCTTTAACAGTAAAAAAAACTGAGTGCAACTGTTCTTAGAATAATCTGCTTCAACAGTCAAGAAACTGAGTGCAACTATACTTAAAATAATCAGCTTCAACAGTCAAGAAACCAAATGCAACTGTACTTAGAATAATCAGCTTCAACAGTCAAGAAACTGAGTGGAACTGTACTTAGAATAATCAGCTTCAACAGTCAAGAAACTGAGTGCACTGTTCTTAGAATAATCAGATTTTACAGTCAAGAAACTGAGTGCATCTGTTCTTAGAATAATCAGCTTTAACAGTCAAGAAAACTGAGTGCAACTGTTCTTAGAATAATCAGCTTTAACAGTAAAAAAAACTGAGTGCAACTGTTCTTAGAATAATCTGCTTCAACAGTCAAGAAACTGAGTGCAACTATACTTAAAATAATCAGCTTCAACAGTCAAGAAACTAAATGCAACTGTACTTAGAATAATCAGCTTTAACAGTCAAGAAACTGAGTGCAACTATACTTAGAATAATCAGCTTCAGCAGTCAAGAAACTGAGTGCAACTGTTCTTAGAATAATCAGCTTCAGCAGTCAAGAAACTGAGTGCAACTGTTCTTAGAATAATCAGCTTTAACAGTCAAGAAACTGAGTGCAACTGTTCTTAGAATAATCAGCTTTAACAGTCAAGAAACTGAGTGCAACTGTTCTTAGAATAATCAGCTTCAACAGTCAAGAAACTGAGTGCAACTGTTCTTAGAATAATCAGCTTTAACAGTCAAGAAACTGAGTGCAACTGTTCTTAGAATAATCAGCTTTAACAGTCAAGAAACTGAGTGCAGCTGTACTTAGAATATTCAGCTTTAACAGTCAAGAAACTGAGTGCAACTGTACTTAGAATAATCAGCTTTAACAGTCAAGAAACTGAGTGCAACTGTTCTTAGAATAATCAGCTTTAACAGTCAAGAAACTGAGTGCAGCTGTACTTAGAATAATCAGCTTCAATAGTCAAGAAACTGAGTGCAACTGTACTTGAGTGTAAAAAATACAATCATTGGAAATGTACATACCATGTGAACCATTCAAGTTGAAGGTCTGACTTTGATTCTGTGACCTTGTCCTCTCGTTATCTAAGGGCAGGTCAAAAACAGGTTGCTGAACAGGTATGGAAGATGATGGCACAGTGGTCAGTTGTTGGACCACATTGACTTGAACAGGCTGCATTCCTGAATATACAGAAACCAATCATCATAATGAAACATGTACACGTTACATAAGCAACGGAAGATTATAGATGAAAATTATGATGAGACCCTTTATAAATTTGAGGTGCATGGTCTGGAGCAGATATTGGCAATTCTGACTCTGTATCATAACACATGTTAAAGAATTGTCACTTATTATCAGAAACTGCCTCCCACCATCAGTGGCACTCAGGACATGTCCATGTGTGCTCCATCTCCCTCAGATACTGTCAAAGAGTATGGATATGTAGTTCCAGTAGACAGCTTTCACACATATGTTTGCTCCTTCCAATGACATACACACTAAAAGGAAAAGATTTCTGGGATGGCAGCCAGATTAAGCATACTGAACAAAAAAAACCCAAAAAAAAAAAACCCACCAAAATAAAAAACAAGAGCCAACGCTTGTTAAGACTGATTTTACCTTCCGTCTCATTTACACGTCTTTACAAATATGTACAAAGCACATACCAGGATAAGCTGTATTTGGAGTCTACCTTGGTCAATGTTATGTGATGTGCAATGTCTCTCAAAAATTGAGTCAGAAAATCCTGAGTTCTGGGGCCATCTTTCCACCTCATCAGAATATTTGTTTCTGTTATCCTCAATATTTGACTTCTTGTGGGCCATAGGCATTGTTGTGACTTCTTGTGGGCCATCTCAAGTTCCACACTTCTCTTCATGCATATTTGTGACTTCTTGTGGGCCATCTCAAGTTCCACACTTCTCTTCATGCATATTTGTGACTTCTTGTGGGCCATCTCAAGTTCCACACTTCTCTTCATGCATATTTGTGACTTCTTGTGGGCCATCTCAAGTTCCACACTTCTCTTCATGCATATTTGTGACTTCTTGTGGGCCATCTCAAGTTCCACACTTCTCTTTGTGTTTTGTGCAGTCCATAGTTTAACTAATATCACTCTCATTGAAAAAAAAAAAAAAAAAAAAAAAACTGGTTCTGAATTTCTTATAGATCTTAAATTCCTCTAATTAACAACACAGATCTGCTTTGTTGTTGGTCATTTCCAGTATGCTGTTCTGCCACTGAAGCCTGTGCAAGTTTAGTAGAAATGCAATCTAGAAGAAAATATTCAACTGTTTGTTCCCTCTTCAGTAAGGCATCAAATTTCAACAAGCCATTTCTTTGTAAGCAAACCTGCCTTCCTTCTCTGATCCCTAATTTTTCTTGGAGGATCATATTTGAAGCTGGAGCTGCATCCTGGCCAGGTGTGGTGCACAGGTTCCAATACAGTCAGGTTATGAATGACTGGCTGTATTTATCTATTCTGCTACATGTTTGGTCATAAAGTTAGTTGCGTATCCTTTACAGGATGTTGCAGAATCAATCCCAGCATATTTTGGCTGTTGTGGTTTTTCTATGCAAATTTTACCTTCAGCAGTTTGCCACAGCTTCTGAACGGTCAACTCTCGGTTCCACTGTCAAACCAACGCAAGACAAAAGGTCCGCAGCTGGAATCGAACCAGCACCCTGGCATTACAAAGCTTGTTTGCAACGCCTAAGGGCGACTGTGTTTGGTCATAGCCTGCTATGAATACAGACATGTTAGAAAAATACATTTGGTGCATTACAAGAAACTTACCATGTGAAGATAGAATGGAGCCCAGAATATTCTGCAACATGCCTGGTGGTAATCCAGGCACATTGGGTATCTGCCCAGAAGCAAGGTTAGTCACTCCACCAAAACTGACACTGGTTGCTGGACCAAATGTGAATGTTGATGATGATGTGCTAGAAGTTGTAAATGAACTGGCTGCCGGTGTCTGTGTGCTAGGTTGTCTGGAGGCTGCAGTCAATGCTGCTGTAGTTGTGGCTGATGTTGCTGGTGCAACCAACGGATGCTCAACAGTAGTTGCAGATGTGACAGTGATGTTTGCTCTATTTCCATCAAGACTGTCAGCTGACTCTGTACCTGAGATAGTAAACATCAACAATCATCACCCAGAGAACAAGATTCTTACAAGAAAAGAAAAAACACAGTATCATAAGTGCAACTGAGACTACTATGTTAGGCTAACTCTGTTAGTATCTGGGTGATACATGGATAGTGGTGTGACTGGCATTAAAATATCAAGTCAAATCTTTAGTCATCATCATCATAAACCACTTCTGCCGTTAAGCGTCGTGGGGAGGAATAATTTGCGATCCAGTGCACGTTGGCTGCCACTGGTTATTGTCAGACCGTGAAGGCGTAGAGTGTCTTTAATGTTGTCAATCCATGTTTTCCGCTGCCGTCCTCTTGCTCTTGTAGTTGATCTTCTGAGATGTAGTGCTTGTGATGTTATTTGGTCTTGCTGCATTATAACGAGATGGCCAAACCACTTAATCTGCTGTTTCTTGATGAATCTAGTACAAGGTGTAGTTCCCACAATTTGCCTGATATGTTTCATTATTCACTCGATCTGGTATGGTTAGGTTGGCTGCTTTTCTCAGGCACCTCATCTCGCAGGTGGTGATTTTGCATATATGGGCATTAGATAGTGTCCATGTTTGGCACTGGTAGCTTAATGTTGGAATAAATATGCTATTAATAATCTGTCTCTTTGCACTCATAGTTATGCTTGGATGTCTTAATAATGGTGACAATTGGTAAATAATCTCTAGTACTTCATGTTATTGGTCATTCCACATAAAACATGGTAAGCAATATAGATAACGCTCATGTATTTGTTATTGATCAGTCTGTCCTCATGTGGGCGATAGTGTTTGGCCTATATTTGTAGTTCAGCTGTGGAAAGTTGTTCAGCTCCTGATATCAAGCCAAACATAGGACTGCAATGAATTTGTGTGGCTGCCCATAATAATAATACCAGCAAATCAACACAAGAAGTAAAATTGCAAGATGACGGCTTTTCTGGCAAAACTGTGTCACAGACATAAAAAGGAAACAACATAACGGCTATAAATGACCCCCAAAGAGACAGAAAATATATGACAACAAACAGAAAAGTGTATATCTTTTGGAAACAAAATAACAATTGACCAAATGTCTCAGTTCAACTGAAGACAGATGGTAACTGGCAAACATAGCAACAGAACTTACCAGGCGTCTGCAGCTACTTCCACAGCTCCCGGAGTGACAACAGCACTAATGTCATGAACAGTTACACTGGTTGGGTACACTTCTACCATCACTGCGGAGTCTCCAGACGGCATGCTGGTTAGGGGCAGAGGCAAGGACACGGGTGGTATCTGTAACACAAATATGTTAGGAAATAAGCAATTGAGTTCATATAGTATCATCTTCTCTCATATAGTATCTTCTTCTCTCATATAGTATCATCTTCTCTCATACATTATCATCTTCTCTCATATAGTATCATCTTCTCTCATATAGTATCATCTTCTCTCATATAGTATCTTCTTCTCTCATATATTATCATCTTCTCTCATACAGTACCATCTTCTCTCATATAGTATCATGTTCTCTCATATAGTATCATGTTCTCTCATATAGTATCATCTTTTCTCATACAGTATCATCTTCTCTCATATATTACCATCTTCTCTCATACAGTATCATCTTTTCTCATACAGTATCATCTTCTCTCATATATTATCATCTTTACTCATACAGTATCATCTTCACTCATACAGTATCATCTTCTCTCATATGGTATCATCTTCTCTCATATAGTATCATCTTCTCTCATATAGTATTATCTTCTCTCATACAGTATCATCCTCTCTAATATATTGACATCGTCTCTCATATATTATCATCTTCTCTCATATACTATTACTTTCTCTCATACAGTATCATCTTCTCTCATACAGAATCATCTTCTCTCATACAGTATCATCTTCTCTCATATAGTATCATTGTCTCTCATATAGTATCATTTTCTCTCATATAGTATCATTGTCTCTCATATAGTATCATCTTTTCTCATATAGTATTCAGCAGATGATAAGAATAAAAAATATGGCGGTATCACAGCAAATGTTAACAGGAAAATTATTTTATTGTTGAAAAGTTAAAATAAAACTATTGTTGAGGATAAATGTCTAGCCATTCATGGCACATGACAGTATTTGCCACAGGTGTTAGTTTTAAGATGGAGAAGACTATGGTAAGGTAATATTCAGACAGACCTATAAACACTAGGTGTCACCCACTAGAAAGAGAAGGCAAACCAGAAAGATGAATGGAGGTGGGCGATATCTGCAGCAAGAGCTTGGATTGCTGAAGAAGAAGAGCTTAGTTTCAAGATGACACCAATCTTGCAGGGAAACAATATGGGTTTAATCAAGAAAACAGCTTTAGTCTAGCCCTATTGGGTTTCTGCAGTCAGCTGTGCATGGATTGTTATTTCAAATGGTCGTATTTGGAGAGCTGGGTGAGGAGCTTGGTGCCTCTCCTGTCTTCCAGATCATGGAGACCAGTCACTGTTTCCCTGTCTGATATGGGCATGACCCCCTGCCATAATACGGAGAGCATAGTTTTGGATCTCTGAGACTTTCTGAAAATGTGATCTAGCTGCTGTGCCTCAGGCAGCTATCCCTTATTCTAGTGTTGGCCTCACATAGCCTGTACAGGTCCTCTTGATGACACTAAGGTTTGCCCCCCAGTCTCTTCCAGCTAGCTTCTCCATCAGTTGAGCTCCTTGCTCTGATTCTCTTCTATTTTCTCCATGCCAGTCTTAGGTCAAAAGTTACTCCTAAATACCACAGTGAGTCATTATGTTTCAGTGCCTGAATGCCATATGTAAGCGAAGCTTTCTAGGGTTCGGTGGAAAGACTGAACAATGGTGTGTGTGGTTTTTGTCCCATTTACAGGCATGTACCAATTACTGGACCACTTCTCTGGACTTCTGAGGAATTCTTGAAGCGTTGTCTGTACTGCATCAATATTCTCCTCTGAGCTCAGTTGGTTAAGACGATGATGAAGTAGAAACTGAAAGAAAAAAAAACTGTCTAGCAACATCCACCTACAATGAATGTAAAGCGGTTGAAACATTCAAAGAATGTTCCTGCTGACAATCGGAAGGCTATTGTTGTGTTCCCTCCACTGTGGAGTTTCTACTACATATACGAAAGTGGTGGAGATAAAGATAAAGTAGACTTAGTAGAGGATACATTTTCTGTCACTATCTCTGGTGAAGCCGGGCAATTAAACCTAGTTTCTGGTGTTTTCTTTCTGTAAAGGCAAGGTTTTTGTGTCGCCAAAGTGCGTCTGACCTGTCAACACTCGGCCAACCACCTACTTCCATGGGGTGAATATGTTTGGGTTTACAAAATATAGCCAGGACTGCCGACGCATCTTTGGCATTTGGGGGAAAGAAAAGTATTCAGCATACAGGGAAGGATCAGCAGGGAACTAGCTTAGCACAGTGGTAACAGTGGCTGGCGGAGTGTGTAGCAGCGAAGGGTTAAAAAAGCCTCTAGCACAAATGAAAATGCTATTTTTAGTATTTTAGTTAATTTATTTAAATCCTGATAACCTGAACATTTGCACAGGTGCATTAACTATACATCTTGTAAAAAGGTCACTAAAAGGAAGTTGGAAAAGCAACATTTATGGGAAACTGGACCCAACCAGAAGTGTCAGCTTTTCGGCTTCTCGGGGTGAAAGTGAAGGCATCATATACCTTGACCGCTACTGACCACCAGAACCCTTACCCAACAAGCCAGCGCGCTGCCATTCTGATCTTCACATGCCAATTGTATCAAGTCTCTTGAGGATCCTCACTCACCCCCATCAAAAACGTGACAATATATTATACACCAAAAGTAACATGATTTAGTGAAACAAACAGGAACTACTGCCTAGCACTTCCAGAACAGAAAAAACAAATAACAATAATCACCCCAAAAACACTGAACACAACAGATTCCTGGCTGGGACTTCCTAAAAGACAATGTCCATACCTGGATAGAAGTGCTCCCAGCAGTGCTGGCTGTGCTCCCAGCAGTGATCCCAGCAGTGCTGGCTGTGCTCCCAGCAGTGCTGGCTGTGCTCCCAGCTGTGATCCCAGCAGTGTTGGCTGTGCTCACAGCAGTTGTGTTTGTGTTGGTGCTGGATGCAGCAGCAGTACAGTTTTGTGGTGTAGCTGCTGTAGATCTACTGTCGGTGGCTGGGGCTTCACTGGAGTTTGACTGACCTGTTCTCTGTCTGTTTCTGTTCATCTCTGGTCGGGTTCTAACATTCATCTAACAAAAAAAAAAAAACAGATAACAGAATTTGAAATGCATAAATAATTTGTGATATGATATTTTATACTTAATAAAAATACCACTGAATCTTGGATATGACTTTACAATGCTAGGTGAGTGTCAGAGTTTAAAAGCAGAACTTAGAAAGGTTAGGGCACCTAGTGGGTGCCCATTAATTTAACAGGAGGGGACTATGGGGAATGCAACCTGTAGTCTTGAATTTCATCTTCATACAATAAATTCACCTACATCCCTCCTGTTGGAGCCAGATTTAACAAAAAATGACCCAGGCTCTTAGTTTGACCCAGCCTGGAGTAGGTACAAGGTAAAGTTCAGGGAAGCAGAGGCGGCCGACGTAATGCTGACCACATCAGGGTAATTGGTCTAAAAAACATAGGTCCAGCCCTATATACCCAATACTCCTGAAGGCGTGGAAAAGGACAGTTCACTTTACAGATCTCTAAACACCTGTTCCCTTCTCCTGTGGACATTCAGCCAGCTTTTTCTATTTCACGAGCTAATCTTAGGCTGATTCTGTTTATCCAGAGACTCTGTTCACCTTCATTATCAAGGGGCAGTTGTATCAGTTTCTCATCCGGAGCTGGACCGTAGGGGATTTGAACACACCTCAACAAAAGACACTCCTTATGTGAGAACATCCCGCGACAGGTAAGGTGATTACGGTGACAAGCATGAGGGAAGACTAATGTCATTACCCAGATAGTCTGTACGTCACCTCAGCCACCAGCATGCTCTGTGTTGATGTTACAGATTCTCACGTAAGACTCCTGCCACACATCCTCTTTGTATGCAGATAATGGCCTACATCGGCCTAAACCCAGATAGCAGGGGTGTCACAGAGCTGTCAAGGAGCTGCCACCGAGCCATTGCTGTATACAAGGAGTAAGCAGCTCTTTGACAGAGCAGGAAACTCTTGTCCAGTCTTGAATCCAACCTCCCAGACAAAGCGTAGTAAGTACTCTGAGTGTTAGGCAGATAGTAAGTAGCACAAAGCTGTTTTGTTTTGGGTAAATTGTGTGTAGTTATGGTATAAGAACTGATGAGTAAATGTTGTAGTGCTTTTTATACAACGCCTTTTGATAATTAGTGTTGATTGTTTAGATTCTCGTGTAAGACTCCTGTCACACATCCTCAAAATATGCTATGGGTAATAACCTATATCAGCCTAAACTGAGACTGCAGGGGATCTTGGAGCTGGTGGCCCCCACAGATGCAGTGTCCAGAAATCCTCTGTGCATGGCTGATAACGTACCAGAAACTCACTTGGAACGTGAGAGAAAACCACCGGCTGAATACCTAACTAAATGACAAACTCAGGTTCAAATGTCTCTTGTCTGAAAGTTCTACTTGGTTAAAACATCTGCAACCAGACTCCTACTGTATGGATGCTTCAGTTCAAATGTCTGTCCACTGAGTGTCCTACAGTATGACAGCAAACATTAAGATATTCCTCGTTCAAAGATCTTACTTGGTGACATACAAGTTTCAAATGTCTACTACCAAAGGCCACACTCATCGGAATGTACTGACCATTATGGGATGCCTTGCATGCTTCCAATAAATGCCCCCAAAAGTGCCACAGGGCATTAATGTGAAAGGTGCCACTGGCAAAGAGAGAAGTCTGACATGCTGAAGAAGAGAGTTGGCCATCTGTGAAGGGAACTGAAGTCTCAGGTCTGCAGACTGCTTTTTGGGGATCCCTAAAGGGCACAGCTCATAATAAGTAGTAGGTTTAGTATACTGATGTAATGTTAAGCAGTCATGTGATGATTCATTAGGTGAGCCAAGTATCAGAGCGTCATAAATCGGAGTACCTATGCTTTGCTTTACTTGAGGGTTGCATAATCTACATCTGGCTGCCCTGGAAAAGACCTCTGACTTGTGGATCAGGGAATGAAGAAGTCAGTATTCATGAGTCTACAAATATCCATGGAAATAAGTGGGAAGGTTAACCTAGATAAAAAATGGCTGAAAATATTATATGTCGGCAGAAAGGCACAAACACTGCAGTGATGCCGTAAACAGGCACAACCCATTTACATCACTCGGACGGACGCTGAAGAAGAAGATACAACAATTTATTCTGGGGAGATTGGGGCAACAGGCAGTGACCCCGGGATCTAGCTGACATTAAACACTCAGAGGATAGGAAAGATGGACACACAATCAGACTGTAACTGGTTCCATCAGAAGTGGAGCTCTTGCGCTGGCTGCTGAAGATGGGGATGGAATGCTTATGAAAATACCCAGAGTGCTGTGATAACGGTTCTTAACTTGACTCAACTCAACTGTGATTTCATTACAAAGTCTAAGAGATTTACATGTTATAAAAATTTGGGTACGATAGGTGTTCCACTGTTTTGCTCTTTTGCGAGAACACCACCAATTAAAGCATGATCGTGACAAATTACTTCAATGAGCATTGTAAGTGCAAACATTTAAAATCAAGAACAATAAATGACCTCTTCAACGTGGTCATCAACGTGGTCATCAACGTGGTCTCAAAGTGAGGTAGCCTCTACAGAAAGCCATATATAAATTCTAATACATATATTAAGAGAGAGAAACGGAGAGAGAGAGAGAGAGAGAGTCAGTGAGTGAGCCAGTGAGTGAGTGAGTCAGTGAGTGAGTGAGCCAGTGAGTGAGTGAGTAAGTGGGTGTGTGTAAGGGGGGGGGGGGCATGCACGGGAAGGGTAGGGGGTGTTGGCTGAACACGCATTTAATTAAGGGTGTGTGGGGGCATTTGTGATAAGACCTAACCGGCAAGAGAGAGGCACCACAAACAGGGAAACAAACTACTGCTGTAGCAGAGTTTTCAGAAACAGCTGAACCTTAACATACTCACGTGGATAGGAATAGCCATGCTAGCAGTGCCAGGTATCTGGAATGGAACCGGTGACAAGGCAACCGCCTGACGCGGGACACTTGTATTCATGTCCACCGTTATATCACTGAGGCTGTGCAGCATGTGGCCCAGAGCATGAAACACCTCATTGACCCTGCTGACAACTTCTTGTGCATTCTGAGCTTCCTGTAGAAGTGGCATAAGAACAATGTCAGCAAATCAAATCCTAACATTCCTGGACAAAATGCTACTTCACGTCGCTGTTATACAATTTTGGACAACAACAAAATACCATCATTCAATGAAAATAATAAACTAACTACACTGAATTATACTTAAGATAACATTTTTTTAATGTGTTAGAAGACTGTAGGGAATTATTAACTGTTAGAAGACAGTAGGGAATTATTAACTGTTAGAAGACTGTAGGGAATTATTAACTGTTAGAAGACTAGGGAATTATTAACAGTTAGAAGACTGTAGGGAATTATCAACTGTTAGAAGACTGTAGGGAATTATTAACTGTTAGAAGACTGTAGGGAATTATTAACTGTTAGAAGACTGTAGGGAATAGCAGCAATGTAACATTATTGGAATAAGCACTTTAATGAACAGCAGCAGGGTGTCATTAGTAGAGTATACACTTTAATGGACAGCAGCAATGTGTCATTAGTAGAGTATACACTTTAATGTTTAATGGACAGCAGCAGTGTGTCATTAGTAGAGTATACACTTTAGTGGACAGCAGCAGTGTGTCATTAGTAGAGTATACACTTTAGTGGACAGCAGCAATGTGTCATTAGTAGAGTATACACTTTAATGGACAGCAGCAGTGTGTCATTAGTAGAGTATACACTTTAGTGGACAGCAGCAGTGTGTCATTAGTAGAGTATACACTTTAGCAATGTGTTAGGACAACCCTGAGCAGGAATATCTTTCTGCTTGATACAAGAGGGAAATAAAGGGGAGGGAGAGGAATCTTCACCATATAATGGTGTCTATAAATGCATATTCAGTATCTTATTAACTCTGAGATCTTACAGAATGATCTAGGGTCACAAAATGATAATTTAACCACAATGCATGAAATGGATGTGCAGCTGAATTCCCCTCAAGTTCTATAAAATTAGCAAAGATAATTATTACAGACCTTCTCCTGTTCTTGTACTGCAACAGGGATAACCAGCTAGTGCACACATCAAAAAAATATACAACCTTCTCCTGTTCTTGTACTGCAACAGGGATAACCAGCTAATGCACACAGCCAAAAATATGCTCAACACAGTGAAATGACATTCCTTTGTGCCACTGTTAGAAATCAGCACACCAATCCCTTTACTCAACTATATGTTTCTCTCGCAGTCCTATTTCCTTGGAGGACTACACACAGATAGTTGTATGTAAACCAATGTATATTCCAACAACCTTACGTACCCTTGAATTTGCTGTGTAATTTTCTTCACTGCGTAACAAATTCTGGTACTGTCTGATGTGGGTCATCATTCTGTCATTTGTGTTCAGTACCTGGTCCAAGAAATCTGCTAGCTCAGTGGCCATCAAGCTACTTGTAGAATCAGAAACAGAAAGGATCTCAGAATTACCATCAACCTTCAGTTCTTAAACTATAAATATTTTAAGAAAAACCATTAAAGTGAAAAAATCACATTTGTCATCAATTCAATATTAGAAGTTGTAGAATTAAATTCTAACACTGACCTCTGTCTAAAACTAATGCCACCTCTGTTTTGTTTACAATCATCAATGATCAAATTTGTCTCAGGTTGTCAGGTGATAAGGAAACCTGCTTAAATCATTGAACCAGTATGTTCTGCTTAGGGAAAATGATAGGAGCCTCTATCATGCACAACATCTCCCAACAGTTAATGATTACAAAGAGGAATTATTCAGTGATTTGAAGTATTCGTCACTAGTGACAGTTAATTAGTTGAAGTTTCCCCCGTAACTGCTCCAATCCTGTGTCTGAACAAGTCTGTAAGTGCTCGGATCCCATCTTCTGTATCTTCTTCAGCGAGTGATGACTGACAACACCAGTTCTGCATTTGTCTGCATTCTTCTCTGGCTACCTGTATAGTGTTTGTGTCTGGTATCACCTCTTCTAACATGAAGTTCAGGTAGTCTTGCCAAGACCGCTAATTCACTGTCATCTCCTCAATTTGTACACCGGTCCCACAACTGTTTTCCCTGTACCTACCATGGCCCCGCCAGCAAGCCAATCCACTTGTTCATTCCCTCGGTCCCACCACTGTTTTCCCTGTACCTACCATGGCCCTGCCAACAATCCAATCCAATTGTTTGTTCCCTCGGTTCCACCACTGTTTTCCCTGTACCTACTATGGCCCTGCTAGCAAGCCAATCCACTCTTTCATTCTCTCAGTCCCACCACTGTTTTCCCTGTACCTACTATGGCCCTGCTAGCAAGCCAATCCACTCTTTCATTCTCTCGGTCCCACCACTGTTTTCCCTGTACCTACTATGGCCCTGCTAGCAAGCCAATCCACTCTTTCATTCTCTCGGTTCCACCACTGTTTTCCCTGTACCTACCATGGCCCTGTCAACAAGCCAATCCACTCGTTTGTTCCCTCGGTCCCACCACTGTTTTCCCTGTACCTACCATCGCCCTGCTAGCAAGCCAATCCACTCATTCATTCCCTCGATCCCACCACTGTTTTCCCTGTACCTACCATGGCCCTGTCAACAAGCCAATCCACTCTTTCATTCTCTCGGTCCCACCACTGTTTTCCTTGTACCTACCATGGCCCTGTCAACAAGCCAATCCACTCGTTTATTCCCTCGGTCCCACCACTGTTTTCCCTGTACCTACCATGGCCCTGTCAATAAGCCAATCCACTCGTTCATTCCCTCGGTCCCACCACTGTTTTCCCTGTACCTACTATGGCCCTGCTAGCAAGCCAATCCACTCGTTCATTCCCCTGGTCCCACCACTGTTTTCCCTGTACCTACTATGGCCCTGCCAGCAAGCCAATCCACCCGTTCATTCCCTCTTATCTCAGAGTGTCCTGGCATAAAAAATAAACCTATTCTTGTCAGACAAGACAATCTACATTCTTTGGTGTTGTGATGAGAAGGAGAAAACTAGAGTACATCATGACAGTAGAAAAGCTGGAGGGGAAGAGAGGAGAGGGAGGCAGAGAGAAAAGATTCTGAACAGTTTGACATCAGGGCATGAAGGATCATAGGTATCAGAGCTGTCTGAAAGAACATGAGACAGAAGATTGTGGATAGACACGACTTCTAATACCAAATGGCATGGACTTTGAGAAAAAGATGGAAGTCGGACAGGATTTCCTCAGAAACTCAAACAATTGTCTTCAAACCCACCCTGTCTCTGTCTTCTTAAGACTGTTCGTGGAATCAGAAAGCAAACTTGGGGAAAAATATGTGCCTATAGCCAGGTTATAGCTTTTACTTGTGACAGGCAAGACTAAACCTTCATCATATGGCACAAACAAAAGACAATATTTAATTTCTAGTTTTGGAAGTTTTAGCACAGGGCTAAATAAATGTAATCACATAATATCAAGATGTTTTCACTTGATCTGGGCGTAAGGAACTGACAGAAACCAGACATTATAGCAAACTATGAAACTGTACACATCTCCACAGTAGGTATGTCATGTCAAAATGATCCTGCCCAAGATGAAAGACATTTGGATCTGATAGGAAGTTGTGAGACTTAAAGGCTTGTAGGCACATAGGAAAACATACATAAACATGGAACTGGTGTAATACTGACCAGCATGCAATGATAATAACACCTTTTAAAGATGAATATTTGTGGTGCAGTGATAATGGTCACCAGCCTGAGTGAAAGTTAAGCTCAATGTGCTGTGTTTTAAGGACATACTTTGTAGAGGACAATAGGCACCAGCAAGCTCTGTGCTGGTTTTATGGATTCTCATGCAAGACTCCTGTCACAAGTCCTTGTCGTGCCTCATGGTTATGGCTTATACTGGCCTAAACCAAGCTATCAGGGAATCTGGGAGTTGGTGTCCTCCAGAGAGGCAGTGCCCAGGAATCCTCTGGCACTCATCAGGGAAACCATGCTGGGTGCATGCTTCTCAAAAATGCCACAAAAAGTACTCCAAGGCCTCCATGTGGTATCTTTGGCAAAGACAGAAATCCAGAAGCGAGAAGCCCACTTGTGCAGGGAACTGAAAACCTTGATCTACAGGCTGCTTCCTGAGGAACACTAAAGGGCACAGATTGTAGTGAGTGAAAGGATCAATTTACGAATGTGAAGTTAAGCAGTGATGTGCAGAATGTGATGATCCTTGGGTGAGCCTGGTACCAGAGCACCAGGTTATCGGCTCTGCATTTTATGGAAGAATCTTTTAATGGCGAGAAATGCCCTGCTCTGCCTGTGCCTTTCCTTGAGGGTAGACCGATCTGCATGTTGCTGCATTGGACGGGTCCTCTGGAGACAAAAACTTGTGGATCAGGGGATGACTAGGTCACCACAGATATGAGGCTACACATGTCCCAGGAAACTAACTGGAAAGGCTAACCTGGGAAAAAAATGCTGAAAGGCATAAATATAGCAGTTATGCTGTAAACAAGCAGAACTCATTTACATCACTTGGACAAAGGATGAAGAAGAAGAAATTCATAATCTGGTATATACAAGATATCACATTACCTCTGCTAACTGATAATTTTAGTTTCAATAAAATAATCACGTTCTTCGATCTGGCCAATTTTTTCAGCTCAACTTAAGCACTAGGCCTTACTTTTAATCAATTTCAGGCTCTACACAAAATGTAATCAATTTACCAGCAAACATACAAGCTTTTTTTTAAGCTGGGTTACAGAAAAGTTGAAAAGATGAAGCTTGCCAACGATGCTCACTCTCGTTCCCTGAGACACGGTGACAACAGACCATATTTAAGCATTAACAACTCATCTAGGAAAACACAAGCAACACGACACAAGAAGTGAACCTAAACATACACACTTGTCAAATCTGATGTCAAGTGGAAAGCACATTACCTAAACATGCACACTTGTCAAATCTGATGTCAAGTGGAAAGCACATTACCTAAACATACACACTTGTCAAATCTGATGTCAAGTGGAAAGCACATTACCTAAACATGCACACTTGTCATATCTGATGTCAAGTGGAAAACACATTACCTAAACTTGCACCCTTGTCAAATCTGATGTCAAGTGGAAAGCACATACCCTAAACTTACACCCTTGTCAAATCTGATGTCAAGTGGAAAGCACATACCCTAAACTTACACCCTTGTCAAATCTGATGTCAAGCGGAAAGCACATACCCTAAACATACAACCTTATCAAATCTGATGTCAAGTGGAAAGCACATAACCTAATCTTGCACCCTTGTCAAATCAGATGTCAAGTAGAAAGCACATTACTTAAACTTGCACCCTTGTCAAATCTGATGTCAAGTGGAAAGCAAATAACCTAAACTTGAACCCTTGTCAAATGGAAAGCACATAGCCTAAATTTACACCCTTGTCAAATCTGATGTCAAGTGGAAAGCACATAACCTAAACTTACACCCTTGTCAAATCTGATGTCAAGTGAAAAGCACATACCCTAAACTTGCACCCTTGTCAAATCTGATGTCAAGTGAAAAGCTCATTACTATCTAACAAAATGACTTACGTGTGCTGGTCACTGACAGAAGCTTCTGGACTTTCTGAGTTGACACCTTCTGAACTGCCCTGCAGAGGTTGCTGTGGATGTTCTCTGCTTTGCGACTGACCTAAACTACTGGCTTCAGGGGTTGATGAGGTATCCATGATGTCTTCTGAATCTCTGGCTGGTCTGGCATGGCTGGATTCAGTTCCAAGTGCAGAGAGATCTCCATTGTGTTCTCCAGGTCTTGGACCTAATCGCTATTGTAAATAATTCATTTAATTTACTTTTTTCTCAGGAACATTCACTGAAACTAAAACAATATAGGTTTTATGTTTAAAATTATTTTAAAAATCATGTAAATTACAACACATTTTATATTAACTTTTTACTTGCTTTGCAGTAGCAGTGTAAGCTGCAAACATCAAAAATATTTAAAAAAAAATTTAAAAAAAAAAGGTATATTGTGATCTATGCGAAAAACAACATATAGTCATAAATTACGCATCACCAAAAAAAATAAAAAAATTTGCCATGTCACCCCCCCCCAAAAAAAAACAGGTCATGTCCCAGAGACGGTATACGGGCAGTGACTAAGGTCTAAGGTCAGCTTTGATGGTCTTCTTCATTTCCACTAAACTTGTCCTGAGATCTGAGGGTAGCAGCAGATCACGGCGGAGTTCTAGGTGACAAATGGTTCAGCCATTCTCCACCTGTCCAGAAGGTTGTGAGTTCGATTTCAAACTCCATTCTACAGTTTGTGAGGAAATAATGCTGATCATATTGCAAAACAGACCTTGTCTCTAGGCAAGACACAAAACGAATCCTGATGCATGTTAACTACACTAATTATTTCCAGTTTGTGAATTCAGCTGTTTTGAAGATCCCTGGGAAGTCATCACTGGAACTAAACAGTTTTGTGTGACATTCTTGTGGTCTTTTTTCCCCAGTTTTTAGGATTCACCAGCTGCAAACTGGCGGAAAGTTCTGGTTGTCTCCTTCCAGATTTTGGTATTGTTAAAAAATCTGAGTTATTTTTTCTGTTTTACAGATCAGGCTTATTTGTATGCAGACTGTTGGTTTTTTGCCTCTTAGGCAGATATATAATCATCTTCCCACCCACAATAGGGTTCTGGAACCCACATGGGGAAATTCTAGCGGTGAAATATCATTTAAATATATACCCTGGCTGGTTCACTTTCTAAATTATCCCCAAGAACTGTAAACTAGATGTTTAATGAAATTTTTGACTCTTTTTGACATTCTCATGAGTGTGTTACATTTTGTGCTAATCCATCCATCTATCCATACATCCACCCCCCCCCCCCCCACAATGCGCTCCTAGCTGAGTTTTTCACAACCACAAAGCTCTTGGGTTTCATTCATACCCTAGGCCAGCTTCATCTGTGCAAAACTATTGCAAAGCAACCAAGTCTCTCTCCCCTAGATCTTCTTCTCTTCCTTCAGTTACTGCAGCAAAATGTGGGGGGGGGGGGGGGGGGGGAGGAGGGGGCAAGGATCTTTCATGTGCTCTTTAATATACGTACACATACACATTATGTTAGAAAGACAAACAAATCAAAACTAACCTCAAACTGACTGAGAACATCATTGATAAGTCTGAGGTTAAAATCTGCCTGTCTAATACGAGCCCTTGCTTCTCGCGTATTTGGTGTGCTCTGAAGTCTGCCTAAGTGGATCTGAACATCAAACAGGTTACCGTCCTGATCATGAGAGAATACAGACAAGAGTGGCCACAAATTAGGGATTTTTCTATGATAAGTATTTTATCATACAATTGCTAACTGTTGAACAAAATTTGATGACGCAACAATACTTTCTCTTTCTTTTCCTTTATGTTTATTTGAGTGTTTGCAAAGCTGCAATATTTGCACCTTTCAGCTGAAACATCTTATATCAATGGGTATTTGTTCACTGGATTAGCCTTCCCGTCTGATTTCATGGGACACGAAGTGGCCTTATTTGTATCGTGTCCTCTCTGTCCCTTTATATACAGGTGTTGCCATAGGAGAACCCATTTATGGCAACCATGTGTAGACTAGTTGACCCTGAACGGAAGCAGAGGAAGGTCATGGGCATTCCCCATCATCCAAGGAGGCTTCCATAAATTCAGAGCCGACACGCGCCACTCTAGACCTGGGCTTATTCAAGAAAACATCACATTCTGCTTAACTTCTTGTCTGTATATGCTGAGCTTCCCATTTGTCACAGGCTGTGCCCCAAGAAATCATCAAGGAGCAGCCCGAAGGTCTGGGACTTTGACAATCACACAAATGGAAACTTTGCATGACAATATGGAACAAACATGCTTCGGCTAGGGCTTCCCCTGTTTGGTCCTAACACTCTGACAAGTGTTACCAATGGTAACAGATATTTGAAACTTTCTGTCAAATATTAGGACTTTGATGGTTGACCTTTGCTTTTACGTCGCAGGACATTTGACTGACGGGCATTTGAGTCTAATCAGCTGACTGACAGCAGCAGACTGTCACAGCCGACCTCAACAAGGTGAGGATGATGATGAGGGTCAGCAAAGATGTACAGAGATACCATCTGCAGGAGATGTTGCTTGTCTAAGCTGTGAATAAATCTGTTGCTCTAGGGCTGAGTTTCAGTAGTAGTTCTTCAACTCAACAGAGGTTTGAACCATATTGTGTCATACAGAAGAAAGTTCAGCCAGTGGGCTTGAATATGAACCAAATGAGTTTTCGATAAACGTTATCACACAGGCATTGGGAGTGGGCTGATAAGCCAGAGGAATTCTGGACACTACATCTCTGTAGGCCGGCAACTCTAAGTACCCTGCCAGCTCGGTTCAGGCTGATATGAGCCATTATCTGCAGCACACGATGATGTCAAGAGGCAGGAGTCTTGCGTGAGGATCTGTGAAGCCAGTAGAGAGCCTTCTGGTGGCCGAGGGTGACGGTACAAAGTATCTCCTTATACAAATCACTGCGGTCTTAACTTTCCCTCATGCCTGTCACCGAAATCTCTGTGCTACATGAGGTAACAATACATTAACTCAAAAATCAATAGGTCATTATGGCTGGTTATTGAATCAGCTGTCAGACTAAATGCTAACCCTGATGTCTGATGTACTGGTGTTCAGATTGTTTGAGATCTGAAGGTAAAGGGAAAAGATTGGCCATTCAATAAAATGCCTTATCTACACTATTGACGAGCTGTGACAGGCCAGAAAAACTTCCTGTCTTAAAAGATGTAAGACTTATGATAATGATGTTGGAAGGAGAAGGAGACATTTAGGAAATGACAGTAGGTGTGGAAATATATGGTCAGAAATGTATCTGCCAAAGTGTACTATCAGACTCTGATAAGAAGATTTCTACTGCAGTCTCAAACATAACATCTATCACATAAATGGGTTATAATTTATTTTTTAATGATCTAAATGTTCTTTATATTAATTTTTTCATAATTTTCATATCTACTCGGTCTGTTATAAGTATACTGCCAAAGTGTACTATCAGAGTCTGATAAGTACACTATGAAAGTGCATTTTAAATGGGTGAAACAAAGTTCTGTGAATATACCTAAAACCTGATATATAATTAATGTATTAGTTAACGAAATTGGTTGTACATGCATTTTGAGCAACAAGTATCCAAATATGTATCAGAATCTTTATTGGAAGTCAACTTAATGTCATTTGTTTCAATCTGTTTCTTGCCATAGTTTTAACATGAAGAAGCAATGACATTTTACTGTAGCAGAGTATACAGTATCAAATGGAGGCAAAACTTGTAAAGCAAGCAATTTTAATTCAAAGACACGAATAACAAGATTACATTTTAACAGCCAAAGTAATGAAGTCTAAGGCAGAATCTTGCGATCAAAATTTGTTGTTAAAGAGGTAGTTGTTAAATCCTAATGAATCAAGTATTTTTTGTGAAGAAAATGAATGGGTCTGAATGGCAGGAGTAAGTTGGTGAAATAATTGTCATTGAAGGAAAGGAATAATTGAAAGAGAAGGAAACATACCAACTGAATCTGTGGCCTGGTTGTTGAAGATGTTGCTGTGCTTGACTGTTGGGTTTGATGTTGTGGAGCTTGACAAGGTGGAGGGGGGTGCTCTCTGTACTAAGTGAATCACTTTTCCATGGACATCTACATTTCAAATATACACAAGTTAAACAAAGTATACATACAGCAAGATTATGAAAATACAATCAAAGCTCTCATTATAGAAAACATCTAAACTAATTTAAGTCCATGTACCTTTCTTTTTTATACCAAAAAATATTAAGAATCTACATCACAGCACTCAGGACACCCCCATAAGCGCTCCGTACCCATCTTCAGCAGCAAGCAAAGAGTTTAAATTCCGATGGTATCAGTAACTGTCTGACTGTATTTATGTCTTGCCTTTCCCCTGAGTGTCGAGCGTCAGCCAGATACCCTAGTAACTCCTTGCAGCGCCATTCTCCTCAGACCGTAATGATCTATCTGTTCCTCAGCACTAATCACTCGCTCCCAAAGGGCCCTCACAACATCTAGCTTGTCATACATCAGTTCACCACCAAGGGGTGCAGAACCAGCCAGTCTATCTGCCTGCTCATTTCCCAACACACCGGCATTGCCTGGAGAAAATCTTTTATACCATGAATCAACAAAAAGAGAAGGCAGATATAGATACTGAACCACGTGTAGCTTTAACTAATAACTGTAACTGGCTAGATGTCTCTCCGACCAGTCACATCCTAGGTCATCAATCTGACCAATTCATGCTATGACTCTCCGACTAGCCACTTCCTAGGTCATCAATCTGACCAATTCATGCTATGACTCTCTGACTAGCCACTTCCTAGGTCATCAATCTGACCAATTCGTGCTATGTCTCTCCGACTAGTCACATCCTAGGTCATTAATCTGGCCAATTCATGCTATGACTCTCCGACTAGCCACTTCCTAGGTCATCAATCTGACCAATTAATGCTATGTCTCTCCGACTAGTCACCTCCTAGCTCATCAATCTGACCAATTCATGCTATGTCTCTCCGACTAGTCACATCCTAGGTCATCAATCTGGCCAATTCATGCTATGACTCTCCGACTAGCCACTTCCTAGGTCATCAATCTGGCCAATTCATGCTATGTCTCTCCGACTAGTCACATCCTAGGTCATTAATCTGACTAATTCATGCTATGTCTCTCCGACTAGTCACATCCTAGCTCATCAATCTGATTAACTTGTGCTATGTCTCTCCGACCAGTCACTTCCTAGGTCATCAATCTGATCAATTCGTGCTATGACTCTCAGACTTAGTCACATCCTAGCTCATCAATCTGATCAATTCATGCTATGTCTCTCCGACCAGTCACATCCTAGGTCATCAATCTGACCAATTCGTGCCATGACTCTCCGACTAGCCACATCCTAGCTCATCAATCCGACCAATTTGTGCTATGTCTCTCCGACTAGTCACGTCCTAGCTCATCAATCCAACCAATTCGTGCTATGTCTCTCCGACTAGTCACATCCTAGCTCATCAATCCGATCAATTCGGGCTATGTCTCTCCGACTAGTTATATCCTAGCTCATCAATCCGATCAATTCTTGCTATGTCTCTCCGACTAGTCACATCCTAGCTCATCCATCCAACCAATTTGTGCTATCATCAATCCAACCAAATCATGCTATGTCCTCCGACTAGTCACATCCTAGCTCACCAATCCGACCAATTCGTGCTATGTCCTCTGACACAGCAGCCATCTCAGCGTCTTCATACTTAATAGATTTTATTGGCACATCTTCTTTCTTCTGCATGCTTGTCATCATTGAATACCCATGTCCAACAGGCGGTTGGTAGTCTCTGACTCAGTGTCTCTGGAATGCAGCACCTTCAATGTCTACCCTATATATACTTATATAGTTCCAGAATAGGCATCCCACCAGTTATCAGAGAATCTTAACTGTCACAAGTCCTCAGTTTTTGCAACTATTAAAGCATTTCAACATCTCTGATTGATGATGACATAAACAGTCTGATTCCTGGTCATACCGTTAGGACTTTTTCATGTCCACAATCTTCTGTGATGTTGCTGACACCAGGTTAAGTAAAAGTAAAAAAGTAAAGCACCCTTTTCCCCGCCTTTAGGCGTATAGGGCATATAGGGCTAGACCTATATTTTATAGACCAAATGGCACAAAATGGGTAATATGGTCAGCATCACGCTGGCCCCTCTCTACTTACCGGGACTGCACCGGCTACCCACTCAAGGCTGGGTCGACCTGGGAGCCAAGGTCATTTTTGAAAAAAGTCCGGCTCCGCCAGGGAGCGAACCCACAACCTTTCGATCCACGGCGAGCGTGACACCAGGTGTTTCCAACATTAATCATACATTGCTCGTTTGCCCAGTCTACTAGCCTGTCCCCTCTTTCATTTTGCTGCCCTAATTTAAATTTGCCAACTGTGTAACCATCCTGCTGGCTTCCAATTTTAGCATTAGAGTCGCCCAATATGATATTTCCAAGTTTTTGCACTTTTAAAAGGCATTCTCCAGGTCACTTTCAAAAACATCAATGCCTCCTTTACTACTTTCAGCTGTTAGAGAGTACATTTTGATGTTTATGTTGAAAGATCTGCCACTTAATTTTACAAATAATACCCTATCTGTTCTGATACCACCCGTCTTCTTATTTAATGCTTGTCCAATTTTCCCCCTGTGTTTATAGTCCTAACATTCCATGTCCATATGTTTAAAATATTTGAAGTTTGGCAAACAGCTAGAGTCTAGAGTATGTTTCTTACTCTCATTTGCTTCAGCTTCACAAAGTGTAATAAAAGATCAAATCAGCACTTACTGTAATCTTTAAGCATCTTATCATCTTGCATCACACGGCCTTGAAAAATTAGTCTCTGGCTGTCAGCAGGAATTTCCTGTTGGAAAAAAAAAAAAAGTGAAATACAACTATTTCTTAAAGAGAATATAATTTAATCTCCTTGGTGTGTTTTTAATTTCAGCATAATCCTTATCTTGCATTAGAAATCAAAGATGCTTTCCAGAAAAAAAAAAAAATATAAAACAGCTAAACTATTTTCCGGTGTGACTGCATCTCAGTCCTCCAGGTGACTCAAAGAGATCCACAAGACAACATAGAGAGACCAGGGAGGACCTGCGACTGACATGCAAGTTCACAGAGACAGCCCAACTGATGGTTTGATCTGCATAAGAAACAGAACACCAAGAAGAAGAAATAGAAGAAGAAGCAGATGAAGAAGAAGAAGAAAAAGAAGCAGAAGAAGAAGACAAGAAAATAGTGAAGACAAGATGGAAATCTAAAGTTTAAAAATTTATAATATGGCAAGAGCAGACTTTTTCTTCCAATTTCTTCATGTCTTTGATGATCATCATCCAGTAAGTTCTCATCCAATTTTTTTAAGTATCTTGTTAGTGCATTATTAAAGGACAAGTATAGAAATTTAAGGCACATGGATAATATCCCATGGAAGGTGTGTCACAGAGATAAAGAGTAGAATAGAGCAGGACAAAACTGTATTTTACAAAATGAAGAAAATTTTATGCAGTAAATCCATGTCATTGGATGTTAGGAAAAGAATTTATGCATGCTATATAGACGATGTGATTACAAGAACTATTGGAACCATACCCATTGTTAAATTTATTAAGAAGCAAAGAATGAAATGGTTTGGTCACCTAATGAGAATGGAACCAACGATGCCAGCATCAAAAGCATACAACATGAAAATCGAAACAACAAGAGGCAGGGGAAGACCATGAAGAAGATGGATTGAAGGAGTCACGGACAACTTGAGACTTCATAACATCACGGCATATGAAGCGACTGAGCGCGCCCTGGCTCGGTTGCCGATCATCTGATAGACTGCGACGCCTAGCGGCACAAGCAGATTTTGACAAAAGAAGAAAGATATAGACCCAGTTTTAGGCCGTGGAGATGTTTTACAAAAGAATCTTTAGAATTTCTTGGACAGCTAAGAAGAGCAACCCAGATGTTTTTAAAGAGGTGAATGCTCAAAGAAAACTAACCACAAACATCAGAAAGAGACAGTCATACATTTTTGGGGTCAAGTTATGAGAAGAGAAAAACTGGAACCTGTTATGACCACTGGAAAGATCTGTGGAAAGAGAGACAGAGGAAGACAGCGTAAGAAGATTCTTGACAGTCTTTTGTCATGGCAAGGAGGGCTGTCAACACACAAACTGATACACACAGTTACAGATCGCAGATTGTGGAGATGCATGATCGCCCATGCCAGTCAGCAAGGCACTTGATGATGATCTTGTTAGTCCTAAAAAAAAAATTGGGAGTTTTACACTGACTCGGTGGAAAGTTTATAGAAGACTTTACTGAACAGCCAATAACTAATCAATAGTGGAAGGCTAAGGAGATTATTTCTTCTTCTTCCTCACAGCTTTTACCGGCTGTAAATTCCAGCAGAAAGTTGTTAGTTAGTTAGTTAGTTAGTTAGTTGGGTTATCATCATTGCACTCCGGACATGTCCATAGGTGCTCAGATCCTCCCCTCAGTATGAATCCCAACGTCCGATGATAGTACCAGTTCTTTCTATATTAACAAGTCTTCTGAGCGTGTCCGGTGTGCGTCTCGTTTTTTGCTGTGCCGATCTTAATCAAAGTCTGCCATTCTGGCGAGTGATGTGGATTCACTGCCACCAAAGTCCAGTCTATCCTTCCCATTTCTCATGAGGGCATTGATAATCATTCATGATCCATAGGCCGACCGTCGGTAGTGATAGCGGATCCAGCCAACCTGTCAGCTCTTTCATTTCCATCGACGCCTGCGTGTCCCGGAACAAAAATAAAGGTGACTCCTCGCACAGTGGACTTCTGAATTGATTCAAGCCATTGTCTTCGCACTGAACCTGCCTGAACCCTCCGGATCATACTCATTAATCACTGAGTATACATAGTGCGGGTGTATTTTTGTGTTTCAAGCCAGGCAAACGCTTGCGTCACTGCCATCATCCATCGTCATGCTGCTGGTTGTCATGGAGAAGGCGCCGTTGGCTTCTTTGACTGTTTGCTGCCCTCTGAGCGTGCTGTAAATGCCCATGCGCTTCTTCTTTGGCGTATAACTGATCCGTCTGTATAGATTAGTGCATCTGCTTCGTCTGAATTTTTCACCGATGAGAGCGTTGACCTCTGCATTAACAGCAACAGGATTATCTTCTCTACATCGCCTGTTTGAGTGTGACAATACAGGAAAATGTACAAATAAACGCCTGAGGCACAGGTATCCATTCTGCACCAGGTATGATGTCGGTTAGGCTGCATATTTGCCTAATAACATCTTCTGCCCCGAACTAGCCACGATTTTCCCCTCTTCAGTCTGTCGCCCTTTTCACTAAAAAGCGCTTGATGCAGTGGGTGTTTTCTTATCAGCACATATTTTGAGGTATGCCCGAGCCCTCCACATCCTGATCTTTTGGTTCATTGTTGGAAAGTCAAGTAGATACCTCATTGCTCCACAAGATGTGTCTCTTGTACATCTCAAAATAATACGCATGGCTTCATTTTGCACCTTCTCGAGTCGTTCAATCTGGTAGAACTGACAGTGAGGATGGCCAGAGCGTATTCAATGGGGGAAAGGACCAGACCATAGAATAGAAGCACCCAGCAGTCTTTGCTCGATATTGGAAGCAGCCATAATCCTCATTGCAGATAGACCTTTGCGTGCTTTTGTTATCGCATGGTCAACGTGTTCCCTGAATGACAAGCTGCGATCGAACCTCACCCCGAGAAACGTCATAACGTTGGTTCTGATCAATACATTATCACGCATTTTCACTTCTGGTAAGTCCGACTTGACAATGTGATTGTTCAAAGAGAACCATGACACTGATGCCTTCGGAGGGATTTTTCATTGGAACCATCACACCAGGCGGCAAATTCGATCGAGTTCTTTGTGCATTGTGCTGGCAATCTCCTGTCTATCACGCCCTCGTCGATAAATCAAAATGTCATCAGCAAATGACAAAGTCCTTTTTTTCACATTCAACTGCTGCTCAGTGATCATCACCGTATAAACATTGAATAAGACTGGTGATAGCGGTGATCCCTGTGGCAAGCCTGGACATATCGTTTGCGGTTCTGAGGACCAGCTACCACATCTTAGTACAATCTTTCTCTGGAACAGGACCGCAGCAATCCAGCGGATCAGAATAGGATTGACTTCTAGTTTAAGCAGTAATTGCATTAAATAATCATATGGTACTTTATTGTAGGCATCTTCTAAGTCCAACACTGCCGCACATGTCTCTTCTTTAATCTGAAATCCCTCGTACACATCGTAGGCGAAAACAGCAGCATTGGACCATGTCTCTTTCTTCAATCTGTATTCCAGCAGAAAGTTCTGGTTATATGCAAATGTCTGGACTTTGGTCTCGTTTCAGAACTTGAGTTGGGTGTATATATCTGTTTTACAGACCTGATTTATTTCTATAAAGACTGCTAGCTGCTCACCTCTCAGGTAGATGTACTCTGACTTCAAAGGAAACATCCATAACCAGTCACCTTCGATGACATGCTCGTTAGGGGAGCAGTGGGTCTGCTCTGTCTTGTCTGGAGTCCACATCAGGAGAGAGATTCATTCATTTTCATAAAACACATGAAAAGTGATACTACCATCACTAAACAGTGATGGGGGGAAACTTAACAAATAAATACTTACAATGGTGCTGCTGATTTTCTCTTTGAACTGACGAACATTTGACTGTAAAGAAAAAAAAACATTAAAAATCATTCAAGAGAGTAGGCAGAATAAAAATATTCAACATCTTAATATGCAAGTTTTTTATGTCAGGTTTATTCAGTCTAGGGCAGAGATTCCTCTTCACAGGGGCGCCGTGAATATTGTAAAAGCTTCATAATTAATTTAAGCAAGACACGAATAGTCATACTTTTACTTAGACTAGAGCGCTGAGGAAAATTTTTTATTGAAAAAAGGCGCCGCGACCAAGACAAGTTTGGGAAACACTGGTCTAGGGATTTGTTTTTCTTTGTTCACCACCGTAAAGTCCTGGTTGTTTGTCCTTTTTGGACTTTGGCTTTGTGCCAGGCCTCAGCTTTGCATTTACATCCGTTTTACTGGCTTATTTGTGTGCAGTTGGCTGTTCCTTACATCTCAGGCAGATGAACTCCGACTTCGAAGGAAGCCCCCCAATTAGTCCGCTCATACAACATGCTTGTTGAGGAGGCAGTGGGTCTATTCTTGTTTTCCAAACAATGGGGCCTCGGAACCCACACAGGGCAGTCTAGGGACTGAAATGTAGTTTCTTTAACAGGTTATTTCATCATGAAAACAAATTTTAAATGATAAAAATACTAACAGAAAGCAAGGAGTCATGTTTTCAAAAAGGATAGCAGGAGCAAAGTCTGATCATTATTTAGACATTCTGGAGTGCTACAACACTGTAAAATGTAAAGTTAGGAATGTTTTTTTCACACCAGTGGTGCAGCGAGCAAACATATAATGCTAGATTTACATTTTTACACACCAATAATCAGCAATGGATGAGTGACATGGCCAACATCAGGCTGTATAACGCTGACGTTAAATATAATCATCACGCTTGCGGCAATCAAAGTAAAGGTAAAGTCGGGAGATGTGAACCAGCGTCGCTGCACACGGTTATAAACCATAAGTGCTCTGCCACCAGTACGGACAGCTGATAAGAACTGTCCGCCTGTGTCGCCGTTGGCAAGTAACTCTGTAGCTACAGCCACGTTCCTCAATTTACCCCATCAACTCTGGTACCCATTTCCTAGAGGCTGGGTGAACCCCAGGAGCCGCCCGGTTTGCGGCAATCAGTAAACTGTTTACACGTAAAGAACCTGGCCTGCTCATGGAAACTCAAAATATATAACTGATTAGTAAAATGTTATGGAACTACTTGAGATACCAAATCAATGGAGAGAAATCAAGCAACAGAAAGGAAAACTAAACAAGATAATCTTACATTGTCTGAAACGCTGAAAGTTCGATTCTGTCCATCCAAAGTTTTGACTGTGATGTCTATCATAGAACTCTGTCCTGGTTCTGACGTCATGTCTAAATATTTCAGCAAAGACAAAAAAGCAAGCATTAAATTAATCACCTTTACAAGAAAACAGCAGCCACAAAGACATATTTGTACAGGGTGATTGTGAAATTCTTATAATTACCAAGAGAATAATAAAAACGTGTGTTAAGCTGATCATTCAATGCTTCTTCTTCTACATAGTCACCAGCTGTAAATTGTAGCAGACAGTTCTGGTTATTCACTTCAGGACTTTGGTCTTGTTCCAGCATTTACTTTTGTGTGTACATCTGTTTTTACAGATCTGCTTTATTTATATGCAGACTGTTGGTTCCTCATGTCACAGGCAGATCACTCTTACTTCAAAGCAAAACCCCAAAATTAGTCGCCTTTTAAGACATGCTTGTTGGCGGAAGGGGAAGCACGTGTATAATCCCCCCCCCCCCACCCCCTTTCCTGCAAAAAATGGGGCCCTGAAACCAACAAGGGTAATGCTTAAAGCTAGGGGGAGGCCGGAGGAGACAACCTGTTTCAAAAGTTACAGTTGTGACTAAGAGAAAACATCAGTAACAGAGTAAAACGACAACAAATAGGATAGTATCTGAATCAGTGGCGAGGCACAACTATATGTGGTAAATAAAATTTTAAAGGTGCCAAAATTATAAAAAATATTTTGAGTAAAAAGAGCATTTCACCAGATGGACATTTTATGTAAGAATCCCTTCCACAGTTTTTCTACTATAATGTCAAAGGAGGAGAGCAGATGAAATTCAGGACCAGTCAATCGTAAAAACAGGAACTATGCTTATACAGAGAAGCTCTGTTTAGGGTTCAATCTTTTCAAGTTCAATGTGGACGAGTTCGACAATTTTTTTTTTCAGTTTGTACCATTCAGTTATTTGCCTTTATTATTTGTATATATGTCACACATATAATATTATATACAATACTGTTAATACTAGCATCCCTCACCATGTGGGTTCCAGGTCCCCACTGCCACAGGGACAACCAGAACAGACTAACAAACCCACTGCCACAGGGACAACCAGAACAGGCTAACAGACCCACTGCCACAGGGACAACCAGAACAGACTAACAGACCCACTGCCACAGGGACAACCAGAACAAACAAACCCACTGCCACAGGGACAACCAGAACAGACTAACAGACCCACTGCCACAGGGACAACCAGAACAGAATAACAGACCCACTGCCACAGGGACAACCAGAACAGGCTAACAGACCCACTGCCACAGGGACAACCAGAACAGAATAACAGACCCACTGCCACAGGGACAACCAGAACAGACTAACAGACCCACTGCCACAGGGACAACCAGAACAGAATAACAGACCCACTGCCACAGGGACAACCAGAAAGGGACAACACAGGCTAACAGACCCACTGCCACAGGGACAACCAGAACAGACTAACAGACCCACTGCCACAGGGACAACCAGAACAGACTAACAGACCCACTGCCACAGGGACAACCAGAACAGACTAACAGACCCACTGCCACAGGGACAACCAGAACAGACTAACAGACCCACTGCCCACCAAAAAGCATGACATAGGAGCAGTCTAATTGGATACTTCCTTCTAAGTCAGACAAGTCTGTCTGACAGGCAAGGAACCAACAGTCTACACACAAATGAGTCTGATCTGTAAAACAGATGTGCATGCATTAGTGGAACTGGATGAACAACCAGAACTTTCTCTTAGAGTTTACAGTCTGTGAACTCAAAGAAGAATGTATCACCCAGTTTTGTTTCTTGTGCGCTAATGAAGAAGGCCTTTCGCCAAAATATTCTTTCATTGTTTACTATTGTAAACTACAGTAATAATTATTCTGTTAGGCTAGGCTGACATATTTTTTACGTGATTTGGTGTGGTCCATATATTTATTTTTACTTAGTCACTTGCCTACCTAGTGGACCCTATTCTAGCTTGGGGTGTACATATTTGCCAGAGATAGCTAGACTTTTTTATCTTCAGTTCTCAATATTTTGTTTATGTTAAAATTTGTTTTAGGTTTGTTTATCAGAGAAAATAGCGTAGTTAGTTAAGACCGTTAAGTAAGTAACTTTAGTAACTGTAAGTAGTAAGTAACTAGTATACTATAGTTACCTCCGAGTGCTGTGAATTAGCAAATGAATTCTGTTTAGATTATTGTGCTTACTTTCAAACAAGCCGTTTAGGTTTAATTTAAATAACGAATTATTCAGAAACGTTCAAGGAAAAATTCATTTGGCCTCTCGTGGAATCTGTCAAAAGACAATAAATAATAAAGAAAACAACAACGTTCGCCTCTTTTTTCTGACTTTCCATAAATTGACAATTGGTTGTGATCAACTTCCGGTGCCGTGTTGCCACTTTTCTTTGACAAAAAATATCCAAAACGGTGTCAAAAAATATCTAAAAAGATCTAAATCTGCGCGGAAAAGATCTAGAAAAAACATCAAAATTGAAAAAGTCCAAAATTACATAGCTTTTGTTATGACTTACCCTACATAATCATGTCCTCATCTTCACTGATATCTGCCTCACAAGATCCACAGGATAAACTTAGCTTGAATAATGAAGTTGAAGCTTCAGATCCAAAATGACCCTGGTATGCTTTAGCTGTTCACATTTCTGTATAAGTGGAACAGTAGGCTTATTTCCCAAGTCTCATCAGGCCGAATTTTAATGACACGATATCATGTAAGAGGTCAAATTTCATCCTGTTTCTTAGGTTAGATTTGATATAATTCCTAGCACTGAAAACTCTTTCTACGGCAGCATTTGAGTGGGGTAGTATCATGGCAGACATGGCACTTTTAAAGAGCTTACAGAATGGACTGTTTGATGAGGCATCTTTAAATTGACTCACTTCACTCCAAAACGCTTTAGTTTCTGTTTTGTTTCTCCATTCAGCTAACTTAATTTTGGTTAACTGATATTCTGCTTCCGCGACACTATTATCAGTAGCCCCTAAAAATTTCATAACTTTACAATATTTAGGTATGTCCTTTATTGGCTGAAGTATGTTGCTCACTGAAAAAAGTGAAATATTTTTCAAACTATTTAGATTTTCAGGAAGTCTCTGCTTCAGTTGCTTGAATAATGGAGATAAGGAAATCTTGACAGCGTTTTCTTAAGTTGCTCTCTTCATTCTCTGTTAACAGTCCTTTTGTTTTTAAATCCTCAATTTTTGATTCGATTTGATATCCAAGGTATGGCTTGGGAGCCAAATAGTTCTCTATAGTGCACGTGAGCAAATCAGCTTTTAGAAGTTAGCAACACCAGTCTTTTACCAGCTGAGTGAAATAGCAAAGTGAGATCATCAAGTAATTTAACTTTATCAACATGTTTAGATTCGAACAGTTTATTAACTTGTTTGCGCTTCTATTAGAATAGGTTATAAAAAGAGAATGAATGACACATTTTGTTTCATCACTATACATTCCATATAGTATTTCAGCTGTATAGCACTTTTCACTTTGTCTTGTTATTTCAAAGTGTGTCTTCAACTTCAACCATTGCTTCATAATTCTTTCAACAGCTGGTTAAATTGATAACCATCTAGTTTTGCAATCTGACAGAATTTTCGGTGGTGTAGAATCATCATTCAAGGCTGTATATAATGTATTATATTGCTGTTGTCTGACAAATGATTTGGAAAACCAGTAGATGTTTCAGCAATATGGTATTCCAAATTCCTAGGTAAATATTTAGATGAAGCATGTGATAATGCTAGCTGCAATGAATGACACACACATTTTATAAGTATTAACGATGGGATAGCTTCCTTCAACTTGGCATAAACGCCATTGTTTATACCAACCATCACTGAGGCATTATCAGTGCCAATGGCAGCCAAATTCTTTAAGCCTAAATGTTTGCTGATTAAAAGGTCCTTCAGTTCCTAAACTATAATTTCTACATCACACTTTTCCAGTTGAACTAGTACAAGAGTTTTTAACAAATCGATCTGTTCTGAAAACAGATGTCAGCGGTATAATATCTTTAAATAGAACTGCAGTTTTATGCCTTTATAGTCTCCACATGACTCTTTGTTTTGTAATTTCGCTTTAATTTCACACCTGTAGTAATTACAAAAAGCTTTGGTCATATCCCCAGGAAGTGCCATAACCCAGTTTTTAATTTTGTAATCATGCAGCCACTCTTTCCAAATTTTTTGCTCACACTTTACTTTTGGCATGTTGAAAGTTTTTTTCAAAGTGAAAGCCACATATGAAGGTGAGCAATTATTTTTTTTAAAATCACATGAAAAAGAAACACAAAGTCAGCACAGTGAGGATAAGGTTGAAACAAAGTTAGTATGATTTATGCGCGTTTTTATTAATCAGTACCGGGGCTGTCAAATATTTGTGCGTTGACCCCAATGAGAGTTCAAAGTTCAAGTAATGGCAGTTGTCACAATGTACGTGCCAGACCAAAACAAAAATATTGTAGTAAATATTTTACACTGTAATTATTAAATTGACACTGAAAGAAAAAAAAAATCTTTAAAATATCTAACTCATATGAAAAGTTTCTTGTAAAGTATTTACGATCTAAACGCCAAAAACAATATTTAAATGCAATAAAAAAGATCTAAATTTGGATATAAAAGATCCATAGTGGCAACACTGTTCCGGTGCCAGTTGGTCGGAAGTGATTAAAAGTAAAGTGCACATTTAAACAAAACAAAATACGGCGCAGTTTTTGCATAGCCGATTCTCTGTAATAATTAAACTATCAGGCAAATTGTGGTTACGACTCCTTGTACTAGATTCATCGAGAATCAGCAGATTAAGTGGTTTGGCCATCTTGTTAGAATGCCGCAAGATCAAATACTATCACAAGTACTAAGGCTCAGAAGATCAGCTACAAGAGCAAGAGGACGGCCGCGGAAATAATGGATCGACAACATTAAAGACACTCTACGCCTTCACGACATGACAATAGCCAGTGGCAGCCAACTTGCACTGGATCGCAAATTATTCCTCCCTACGGCGCTTAACGGCAGAAGTGGTTTAC